AATCAAAGGCAATCTGGTAGTGCTCTTCATCACCTGAAGCTTTGCTAACGTGATCAGTGAATTGGTTCTTCCTCTTCATGCATATGCAATTTAGGAAGGGAGGATCAACTCAATAATGAGAAAGATGGTTGGTATTTAACATTCATGAGAGGAAGATAAATGTGGTGTTCACATCTCTATACTAAGTCTGTCTTCTGAACGAAAGAAAAGGTAAAACCGGATGTTTTAAGTGGTGGAAAAATGCAGTTACAAACTGTTGTTTAATCAAAAGTGAACGCTTGAAACCATTGCAATGCTCGAGAAGCTCTTGGGCAGGTCCCTGAAGTGGAAAAACAGTCTAATGTAGTTCTAATAACTTGAACAACAGAATAGGATAGGAAACAGGAACAGCAGGAATAAAAATGCTGTTCATGTGCAACACAGGAGAAACATAGAATTACACCCCCATCTTCTCAGAGTCAATAGTCTGCTGAGCTGCATGGTGCAGGAACAGGCCTTTCAATGGTCTATATATTCACTCTGTTCACGGTTTTTGCTTTTACTTGAAGAATAAAATCTTGCTGCTTCAGCTCTAGCTATGGCATCTTTTGAATGGTCATACTGAGTCATGAGACGCAGGCCAGTGGGTTGAGAAAGGAGGGTGTGAGAACACAGAGTGTCAAACACCATAATGAAAAATGAAACCCTTTTCTCTGGACTGCTGAGGTTGACTCAAACGGTCAAAGTCTTCATGCATGACTGTGTGCAATTGCAATATGACAGTAGTAACAGGGTTCAAAGTGGGGCCTTGACACTGTCAGGAGAACCATTTGTGTTCCAGGTTTCTGCAGAGACGGGCACCTGTTGGTCTTTGAAGATTCACAGGGGGGGAATCTCAAAACAGTGGAGATAAGACTGCTTAGGGATGATCATAAATGGTGCACATGAGGGACAGAAGTCATTCAGAGGTCAGGGGGTGCCTTTACACAGTCCCAAGATCTGCACTTCAGCTAATTGAAAGAGAAATCAAAGGAGGAGTTGGGGGCAACTACATCATAAATGTACCTGAGCTTTAATGACTGAAGCTGCAGCACAAGGACTTACTGTGTATGAAGTCATTGATCTGATCTTCTTACATGAGGTAATGATTGAATCTATGGACTGCATGTCCAAAATCCATACACGTACAAATTCGTCCCTGAGTAGTTAGCAATAAGCACCTTTTACTTAATGTGTTTATGTAAAGAGAATTAATAATAAATAGTTATAGATGGTGGTCAGGGAGGGTTCCTCTAATACGGCAGGGAGGACAGTGTTTAAATGTACAGTGAGTAGATATCCCCAATCCCATGAAAACAACTTCACACTACATCTTTAAGGGTTATTTGATAAACCCTAACAGTTCCAGATTGTTCTTATTTTCAGTTTCAATAAAGTATTTTTAAATCCCAATGGGTTATCTGTTTTCATTTTTAAGTACAGTAAGACACGATAGTTTGTAATCAGTGTGTTTCTTCAAAACAATAATAAATGGTGTAAAACCAGGAAGTAAAAAAAAAAATTTTTTAAATTACCTGCCTGAGTTAAAATTGATCCGGATCATTAAGTGAAGGCAAAGAATATCAATAGTAAGCCTGAATAACAAAGATATCCCAAGAGACATTTCACCTGATCATATTGAAAAATGGTCGTATCACCTTAAAATCAGCTGATAACAAATTGAGTCTGAATATCTAATTACGTCCACCTCAGGACTTTTAAGGAGTTGAGGATAATGACTTGATTGTCAGGTGATGCTTCATAACGCTTATTTGGGGATAACTTTGTATGCCACAGGTAAGGCAAAAAAAATTGCTTTTACTAATTTGAAATCCAATTAAAAATAAATATTTGGAGTCAAGGCAAGAATCTTGTTCTGAATTTCTTTTGTATTTTTTAATCTACAGCATTTCACTTTGCACCTATAGTTTTTTGTCCTTGATTATCTTCACAAAACGAACCTAATTTTGAGATGTTTAATGTTTGATCTAGACCTGAAACTGAGAGCTAGAAGCTGATATTCCAAAAGTTTTTTGTTCGTGTCAGAGTTTTTGTTTTCAAGATTCTAAGCCTTTTCAGAAGAACAGAGAAAATAGTCTCCACAATTTCATGGTGTATATCTAATTCAGCAGAGCTATCATGCTTTTTTGTTATTGTTTTTTTCTCTAGACACACAACAAAAGAAGTGCACTTCTCTTTTTTGTCTTGTCTGTTTTTTTGAGCACATTCGGGAGGATTTATTCTCAGCTGATAGGCAATTTCTTTTAAAAAATTGAAGGCATATTTCACAATGATTGCAATGAATGCCAAATGAAACAGAATTTCACTGAGAAAACATCCTTAAATATTTTATTTGTGTCATACAAATTTACTTTTTTTCTCGTCAGGATACAAACTTTTGGATGACTAGTGGAAGTTCAATATTTTGGATTTCTTGTTTTTAAAAGTTTAATGTAAAATCCTACAAGTTGTTCTGTTTTACATGGCGTCATGACTGTCTTATGGAATAGGATGGAATTTAAATAAGAGATAAGAGGTGTCATGTTGTCAACAGGGGGCGCCAAAACAAACACTAACCAATAGTTCCTCACAGCATCTTTAACTCTAAATTCAACATTCGTGGTACTGCTCAGAGTGATTAGAAAGTTTAAGGTTCCTCTTTTCATTTCTTGTCTTTTCTGTTGTTTAAGTTACTAAATTACTGAGCTGGTTCTCATGGAGAAAGTAAATGAAGGGTTCAAGCATTTTGTAAAGGTCACTGGGGTGTCCAGTAGTCTTGAATGCACCAATCCTAAGATGCAGATACTTGATTTTAGAAGTCGTCGACTACAGCTGAGAACTTTTTGCTGAAACCAACCAAACAGTAGAGACTCAAAGTGGTGTGAAGTATGTGATACACAAACACACATCAACACAATCTGTGCTTTTTGACTTCTTTGTCCCTCCACTTTTGGGCACCATTGTCCTTGTACACCACTATATCACACTTTAAACAACTCCACCTGGGTGATGTCTTGCCCCTTTGACAGTCTAAAGTTTTGTATTTGACAAAATCTGTTTTTGCTTTTGTACCAGAAGTATTTGCCAAATTTGGCATGCTAAACCTGTCCCTTAAACAGTCTATTTATTTAATCCAAATTTGGATTCATGTACTATACGTACTACATCAGACTCAGAATCTACACAGCATTAAAGCTCTGGGATTGTGGCCAAAGAAGTGATCGAGACATTGAACATAAAAAGGTGGCCAACATCACACTTACATTGATTCCTGAGCAAAGCCTGATCGCATCATTCATCAACATCTATTGCCAAGAAGTAATCTCAGGGGCCTTAAAACAAGAACTTCACATTGCTTCAACATCAATTCAGGTGCGGGGGGAAAAAAACAAAAGAAAGACATGCTGTAATTCTTTGATCCGATTCCTTTTGTCCTTGGGTTGTGTTGTGCATACCTTTGCATGTGAGGCTGGAGCCAGGCGCCAAGTGTCTCTCTGTCCTCTCACCAAGTGTATTTCTGTTCCTGCTGATTCAGGCGGCCTACCCTAAAATAAGCAGATGGTGAAACAATGAGACGGAACACAAAAATGCTGCAGAGAGATAGACAAAGAACCTTAAACATCTGAAGCGTCCAAATTAAAAGACAGCAGGGGCGTGTCCAGAAGGGTGAACAGGGTGGCATGAGCCCCCCTTTGAAATCTGAATCGCTCCCAAATGTGCCATGCCAAAATCCTGAACACTGATTGGCTCAAATTCAAAATCATGCAGAGAAATATAACATAATTCAGCCTCTTAAATGTAAATTTTTAAACTGGACATGATTTGATTTGTGGAGGCAGAAAACGAAAGTGATTTTTGTGTGTGTGTCCAAGCATGTAAATTTCACACAGAACCTCATATCCATAAGAAACAACTTGTAAGGATATATAACTTCATAGAATTGATGTTGCAGCAACTGATATGTGACCAGCTAAAGAAATAGGTACATGCTGATTGGCCGCTGCTTTGCTCCCACCCCCATTATTCTACGTTCTTGGCTCTGAGCTGAATGAGGTTTGCATTCAAACACACATATGAATGGATGCACAAGTGACTACCACTTCCACTGTGGAGAATTTATGAATTGAATTCTTAACAGTTGCACATGAACATGCAAACAACAGCAAAGACGGGTATGGAGTTGTTTGTTTTTGTTTTCCTTCAGAAAAAAGCTTCTAGTTGAGCGTCTGGTGTGATGTGAAAATGGCTTTTCTTTCAGACAAGGAAGCAGGGATACGCATACCATGTGCATTTGCTACTGGGAAAAAAAAAATCTGCAAAGATTAAGCATGACATTTACACTTCAAAGATATACCCATGCCCTGGTCTCAACCCCACCTCCAAGAACTCTCCACACCCAGATGTCCTTTCAGTCCCATGTCATCATTGCTTTGCCCCTTACTGTTACCTTTTAGCAGCAGCACCTTAGTCATTCTCTTATGCACCGTATCAGGTATATTTCAACATGCAAAATCAATATAAAGGGTCAACTGAGCGTCTCACAACCAGGCAAAATGCTGTCCAGAGCATGTCTGACTTTATGGAGGTCAAATGTGAGAATTAAGAGGACCCTTGTCTGTTTTAGAGGCAATATACTAAAGGAGAACGTCGTAAAAAAGTGACAGTTTGAGGTTTTAAAACTCTTTCTGAGCACATTCTGCATGCAAAGGACTGAAGTGGGCATGCTGTGTGAGGAGAGAAATAAATCAGAAAGAATCTAGTCTGAGATTGACATAGATGTAAGTGTGAGAGAGAGGTTGAGAGAGGGAGAGGAGGGGGTTAGAGTGCGGAGAATGAATGTGTGAGCAAGAAAGACATATAAGCAGAGAGAGAGAGAGAGCAGAGCAGGGAGGAAAGGAGAGAGGGGACTGGAGGAGAGAGAGTGAGAGGGGGAGTGGGAGCTGTGGGGCTAATAGAGAAATAGAGAGGGAGAAAGGAGAAGAGAAGCAGAGACCAGCAGCACGTCTGCTTCTATCTGTCGCCTCTCGGATCTCCCTGAGCTCAGCTGTCGGGCTGCCACTGACTGCGAGAGAGTGGATCCTCTTCCTCACAGGCTGTGTTAGGGAGCGCCTGAGTGCATAGAGTGTCACAGAGTCCGCTTTTTAACTGTGCTGGTTATGTTGCGGCCACATGGGTGACGGTTTGCCCAGTTTTGCTCTGGATTTGACTCATCACCCATGATCCCCTGCCATCTCTGGCATCCCCTCTCATCATTAAGGTAAGAAGAAAAAGTGCTTTATTGACTGTTTTGTTCTTTTTAAAGCTACTCCTACACTCTAGTCCTCTTTCTTTTTCTTTCTTTAAGGATCTTGTGCTCTTGTGAGAGTTTTTATTCTTGTCTTCCTGGCTTATTGAACAAAACAAGCTCAGAAGATCACATTGCACTTCTACCTGTTCTTGTTTTTGACTACTTATGACCTGGTTAGTGTGGTAAAAGAGGAAAGAAACTGTTGTCTCTCTTTGTACCAAGATATAAATGCATATAACACTCTCACTGTGATGATTACTGTCATTCAAAGAGCACTTCTCCAAAACCAAGTTACTAAGTGCTTCACGAACGCAACAAAAAACAACAACATGACATTACCGCACTTCTTCAAACGCTTCAGCTGCAAAAACCCATTAAGCTACCTGATTGTTTCCACATGGCTTGACTAGATTTTGATGATGACTTGTTAGTCTGGAAGCTGCAGCATCCGTAAAGCATGTGTATGTGTGGGGTTGTGTGTGTGTTGTACGGCACGGTTAATTGAGTGAAAGTTAGCGGGGATTTGTCATGTGGATTGCATTAGCTATGACATAACCGTCCTCTTACGCTGATGTATACACTTAAAGTACATTCAAGTGGCATCATCGAAGGGTCAGCATCTGCTCAATACAGTGGACTGGACATAAAGGGGAAAATCAGTCACTACAGACAGTGATATAACCTGTTAGAAATGTTCATTTAAAGGTTACAAACAGTTTCCTTGTCAATCGTGGGATTTGCTTTTGTCTGAAGTGAAATGAACGCTTTCAGGGTTGATACGCTCATAAAACCCAAATACAGTTAATCAAAATATTCACTAGGGAACTTCCCTGAATGTCATTTGATCTCTTTTTAATGCAAACCATATCTAGCCAGGGTACTTTTCTGCTGTTTTATCACACCATGTTGGTAAATACGATCTCCTATCAGAGAATTAACCACAGGGAGTTCACAATAGCAGAGAACTACTTCATGCAGAACCGAATTTCACTTTTAAGCAACACATTCAATCAGCTTTTTGGCATTATTCAGTCATTCAGGATTTTTCTCTTTCTCCATTTACGAGGTGCACTCTATTTGATTAAGCTGATCCTTGCAGGAAAAGATGTCAATTTGATTTCTCTAATTGATTCAGCTTAGTTTTTAAACTGCTTACTCAACACAAAAGCAGAATTTTATTGAAGAATCGCCGTTTGAAATTTAAATGCCTTCCAGCGTTTTCCTTTTTCTGATATAATCACAGCAGAAATAAAGCTTTATGCGAGGTCTGAGGCGCTCGAGATTTTTACAACTCCGCTTTTAGACTGAGCAAACACAGCACTTGCGGGATGTTAACTTTGAAAGCTGCTGCATGAATGACAGGAGTGAGGTTGTCAACCATCTGTGGGACACACGAGGCAATGTGATGATTTAAGAAAGACATGAGAGTTAATTAGGTTGAAGCTCAGACATCCAAACATCCCATGTTGCTATCATTCCATTTTCACCCTGCAGCCATAAAATAATTGAGCAGGCTAGTCCACATCCAGTCTCAAACATGAAGGACCATGCTTTATACAACAGTGCTAGAAAAAGTGGTACTTTTACAGATCTGTGCTCAATGCACATGATACACAGGACCACAGAACCTCAGCAATAGAGTAAAAGTTTGAGTTTGAGTGGATTACAAAGACAAAGTATTGTCAGCATGTATGCAGTGTTTTTATAACTGAAAAATCTCATCTTTCCAAATTGAACTTCTGAATGTGAGGAAACAAATAACAGGGATTGTAGATGTTCAAAGTGATCAAATCTTTTGTTTTTGAATTTGTTGGTCATAAATGGGCGTTTTTGTTAATTTTGGACATTTTTATAACCGCTTTGTAACTCAGCATGGGAGCTGTAATCTGTTTATGGGAAGCAAACCATGAGTATTTGGATAGTTAAAGAAAACTTTATGACTATTTATACTTGTACAAACAGGAAATATAAAATTTTTTGCTTTCATCCACGTCAATGTGTGGGTTTGGTGATTTTTCTTGCATTATTATCCCGGAAAGTACCTTTTTTTTTTTTTTTTTCCTCCAATGTGGCTCTTCTGATTGTGCAAAACATAAAAAAAGACACTAAGAAAAATCACAAGTCTATCCTTTAACTATCAAAAGAAGTAAGGATGCCTTTTGTCCTTGTGTGTGTATATACAAAGCTTCCCACTTGCATCAGTTTGTCTCCTATGGATGCGCACTATTAATAATAGCTATGCTCATTTTGTCATTGACACGTAGAAGCAGTGATTTCTCACTGAAATCTCCCACTGCGGTTATTAAACAGTCAAGTGGATAGACCATTTGGAGTAGTTTCAGTGAAAAATGCGAATAAAAGATGTATTATTAGCAGGTTGTGAAATGTCTCATTTGCACAGGTGTGTAAATTTTCCTTCATAGACTATCTCAACCCTGTCATTGCGTTCATAGCTCATAAAAAGACATGAACACCAAATTCAGTCTGTTTATAAGCATTATAAATCTCACGATGAATCAGTCATTAATTAAAGAAATCATCACAAGGTTTAATGATGAGGAGCATATTATTAGTTTCATTTCAGCTCAGGTTGATGAAGATTTCTGCATCTTTCTTTCAATTCACTAAAATCTAATTGACTTGACAATTAATCAGTGATGTAAATGATAAGTGGTTGTCACCCCACTGACAAGTACGCCTCAGCGTCTGCTTGATGCCATTGTGAAAACGCCTTCTAGAGACGACTCGGTGTAACTAGCTGAATGTAGAGGTGATATAACCCAGTTAGTCACGCAGCGTGTCAGTATGGAGGTGTTATTGTAGCAGCAGTTTACGCATCAGTGTGGGATGGAAGACGCTGTGCGATGATGTGCCCGCGGGGGTGAAGGGCTGAGTCCACAATTAATCTGGAGAATTTAGCTGGGAGTTAGGAAAGTGGTGTTTTTCAAGTGTGCGTGTGAGTGTGTGTTTTCTCTTTGATAGTTACATCACGCTTAGCAACTCAACCCCTCTGTTGCTGTTCTCTGTTTTTAATAACGGTTGTTGTCAAGTACTTAAAAAAAGAGGCTAAAAGGGTGATGGAAAATTAATTTTTGAAACATATTGATAAAATCTACTCATGCAGTTGTGAAATCTACAGAGATTCAAGAGAGAAGATCATTAGTGATGGAGCGCACAGAGACACGCCACATACACACAGAAACTGCACAACTGGAATCACCTCCTTCTTCTGGTCTTTGCAGCCGAATATGAATGGAGAAGGTCACTGACACACATAGTGTGTGGGTGGACATAATGAATGAAGATTCATTAGAGTTTCTGTGTGGGCAGGTGTTATACATGCCCTTGTTACATACAGTACATACACAACTGCTTTTGTAACACCACGCAGAGGGAGCTGTCCCTGCTTTGACTTGTGAAGTCAACCAATCCTGAGATAACAGGTACCTCTGATTTATTCACTTCAGCTGAGGGGAGTGTTAGAGTCAGTAAACATGCTGATGCTTTCAAATATAAGCAAATATATCACTTTACTCTTTTTGACTTACCTCTTTTGGGATTTTGCCACCTATGTCACACTTGGATAAAGGTGACTTTGCACCCCAGGGAGCTACACTGCAAAAACAGCACTTGTTTCATATTTGTTGCTTGCTCGAAGTCATGTCCTCTGACACATACCCCCTCACAGTGGCTACTGGCAATGAAAATTACTTGTAGATATTGTCAATCTTGTCGCTGTTTGCTTGTTTTTAGGTCGTAAGTATCACTAAGAGCTTGAATTTCCAACCCGTTCACTGCTGGTACAGCCACTAGAGATGCACTGAACCATTATTTTCCGATCCAACGAGATACCGATACCTGGGCTGAGTGTATTGGCCGATATCCGATACCGATCCAATACTACTGTTGAGTGAATGAACTGTACACCTTGCCCTGTGAGTGATGGCATCAGGCTTGGCATTAGCCTTGTTAAAAAAATTAACAAATTAACATAGATATACATTTACTTAATATTATTTATTAATAAATAACAAATTGCACATTATCACACAGCAAAAAGAAGACTTCCATGTTAACATTTAGTGCAAAAGGATAGACAGACATAGAATATAGAGCGAACAGAATCGCTGTGTTGCTGTGTATGATATTAATTATATCAGAACGCTGGCTCGCCATCATTCATCAAATATGAGCAGAAATATGTTTTGTTTTGTGTGTGAACAGAATTTCCTGTCAATCCTCGAAATCCTCACAGTTCACATTATCACATGGGCCATGTTCACCATCCCTCAGAGACCGCAGCTGCATAGTTTATTTGGCTTTTGGCGGTTTGGCAAAAACTGGATAGAAATAATTGCTCCGCGGGGAAGCTTTTTCCCTGATATCTTAAAATAGATTTGTAAATTGTCTTTATACAGTATGAGTGTTTGATTCTGCTTACATATAATAGCCTGAGGTCCAAGTTTAAAGCGATGTCTCACAAATTAAGAGGATGGAAAGAGTTGAGTTTGAGATTTCAAAACTGCTGACTTTAACAGAGAGTCACTTTGTTGCTCCTGACAAAGAAGTGGAGATTAATGAGAAAACGACAAGTGAGAGCTCTGGACCAAACTGGAGCTTCTTGTCTCTTTTGCCAAGCGTATTTTGTGTGCTTTTTCTTTTTTTATAGTGTGGCAAATAGGAAGTGATAGCAAGCCCTGAACTGTGTAAATTCTTGGTTTCTTGGATCACAGTTTCAATTAGAGGAAAATAAATAAATAAACTGATATCTCACTTGAAGCTCGGAGCATCAATTTCTCTTTTAAATACGTATAGTTTCTCTTTTTATAAATACAAGCATACGTTTGATTTCATTATTTGGTCTGTGCTGCAAGAAGCTGCCAGCTAATTAAGCAAAGTGACGCACTGCAAGCCTTTGTAGTTTGTGCCATTAGCCATACTCGTTTAACACAATAGAAAGCTAAAATCCAAAATGAAATTAAGCCACTTAATGTCAGCAGTAAAGCCACTTTTATCTTTATTTCATCGCACCATGGGTTTTAATTAGAGTCAGTGTACTGTTTATTTTAGAAACCCTTTTTGTTCCATGGCTTAAAAATCTCTTCACAGAATAGACGAAATTCAATGTTCAGACAAAAATCTGTGGCTGTCTCAGTGTCTAAGAAACTGATTGGATGATTAGATTTCCTGCCTGGCTGTCTCTCTACTCACATATTGTATCTTCTAACACATGAGTAGCAGGAGGGAGCAAAAAAGCCAAAGTTGAGTAATGTGAGAAAGTACTGTACTTTATCTTAAACGTATCTGCCTGAGGTAACTACAGATGTTATCCGACTGTTGTGTATTAAAAAGCTCACAATCTGCCTCATAGATGTTGCAGAGTGAAAGTGTAAAGGAAGGGAAACCCTTGCATAAAGTTCTGGTTCTGTGAACTACATATATGACTTAATGTTGTTACCTTCACAATGGGAAGTAACCAGAGAAGTAGGCTGCCGTCCAACCTGTCATGGAGTGGATAAAACACCCAGTAAGTCCAATCATGGAAAATAAATAGTAGATGACAGTTGATAAGTTTGGAGCAGCAGGTTGGCGGTGAAAAACCATTGCTGGCATGCTTGTGAAGAGAGTAACCTGGCAGTTCAGTCAGTGTGGAGTGATGGCCTGCTGTAAACAGAGTGGAGGAGGGAGACAAAAGGGCAAACTCTGAAAAACTCTGAGTTATTACTTCTTTGTTATGAACTTGATTCTATTTGGTAGAAAACACATAACAGCCTTCTAACATTTAATTAATGCTTGTGGTTGAATCTCATGCAGCAGCGAGTAAAATATAAATATAATAATAATATACTTGATGATAACAAAGTGCAGGTTATCATGCAACGTGTTAAATATAGACACAAAACACTGACTGTAATTTGTTTCAGGGTTTGATAAATCACATTGTGGGTGCTAAATGATTCCGTTTGCATCTCCGCCTCCAAGTATTTTGCACATTCTTCGCTCTTTTGACAGACTCAATCCATGGTGCACAGTGAGTAGGTCAGCTTTGCGTACATTTATCAAGTTTGCACATCTTTATACACCCAAACCTTTAGTAGACCAGGTCCTAAATAAACCATGGCATAGGCTTTAGCAGCGCTCAAGGACTACCTGACTTAAGGCTGGCAATATGGCCTCAAATCGATATCACGATATCTTAAGCAGTTCACCTCGATAACGATAAATTGACGATAACTACTCCAAAAGCTGCTCACCCCCTCCTTCATTAACTTCTTCTACTTCAGCCACTGCTCCAGCTGCTACAACTTTAGAACCGTCCTCCATCTCCTCACCTGTCTTTCCCTCTTTGTTACAGACTGGATGGGGTGGAGTCACGTTTCCGATGTAGGACAGTGTCTTAAAGGGACATGAGACCATAGCCTACCCTCACACATCCAAAACCAACTTTTATCTATTTATGTATTTTTGACACTGAATATACTGACATGAGCAAAATGAAGTTGGTTATTGTCGTGAATTTTGGTATCGGTAAATTTTCAGTTTATCGCCCAACCCGAATCTGAGTGATTTATTTTTGCATCAGTTCAACATGCCAACAGCAAAACACTTACCTTTTGACACTACAGCAAATGTGAATGCAAAATCAAATAATTGAAAAACAGGCTATAATTTGACCAAAAGAAAATGTATAATTTAACTAAGTTCATAAGAATAAACTGTTAACAGAGCGCTACAAACCATGGACTCTAATGGAGTCCAATGTTAGAAACAATTACGGTGTATACTGTTTACTGTATAATATTTTGTCCTTGTTCCATATCAATGAGTTGAAGCTCTATCAGAGAAATCTGTCTCTACAGTCAAGCACAAACTCACTCTGTACTGAAGTTTTAGACTGAAATCACTCACACTCAGTTCATTTCATACACTGAAAACTGAGTGTTGATATAACATCCACAGCTCCTCAGCACTCCATGTACTGTTTGGATTTGTGCACCTTGAGGACAGTGTGCAGCTACACTCAATTTTCTTGTTGTTGAAGCAGGTTCAGTGAAGGGTTTTCTGGCTTTTAAGTGATATCAAAAGGTTTCTCCTGAGGTTTTCCCTCTTGACAGGAAAGGGGATTTGAGCTTTTTTTGCTAAATCAGAACTCCATCACAGCTGAATCTTCAGGGTAAAGCACCAGCTTTCTTAAAGCTAACCTTTGTTACCGGAATAGTGTGTTTCCCAGTTCGCTTTTTAAGCTTTTTTGAGTTTTCACAGAATTTGGTTGTTCCTTCAGGGTCGCAGAGTCACATGCAATGACCAAGGTCCTATTACCAATGAAAGGGGTGAATTATACAATGATCATTGGGTCTTGGGTTGTTCAAAAGGACAGCTTGAAGCCAGGAGGAAATGTTTAGGTTAATAGAGCTATTGTGCACATGCCAGAGGTCAGGAGAACATGGGATTTCTCAATGGGAATGAAAGGTTAGTGCAGGGACAGACAGACTGCAGCAGAAATTCTGTAGAAAATGCCTTTTGTTTGCTCCCACAGACATGTTTGGTTCTCTTAAAATCCTGAGCAACAAGCATGAAAGAAAACAACATTCACACAAAGACAGATTATTATGTACTTCTTTGTATGACTTTAAAGCTCTGCATGATTCTGTTTTATAAACTCAATAATATGGTCTGACTCATGATTAGTTACCTCAACAAGATGTACATAAGAACACTTTGTGACAGCTGTAGGAGGAACTTTGAGCAACTCTGAATCTTGATCTATCACGTACTTCAGCACAGTCATGGGAACCAGTCCACAACCTTTACAGGGTGTACTCATACTTCGCTTCGGTGCTGAAGAGTCAAGATGTCAAAGGTTGGAGTCAGACACGCCAACACTGCCAGCTGCAGTTGGTGCTGAATTCTCTACCTATGTCAACCACTTCATCTTGAACCACACAGACGGGAAAGTGGTAACAACACCCTATCTTCAACATACCACTAAAGGGACATGGATATAACCCCTCCTGTTAGCACTTGCTACGTATGTTTTGGTGTTATCCAGACAACCAATCAGCACAGAGCCTCATAATCACAGCATCCTCATTCGCTCAAATCAATGCAAGGACAATACATTCAGAAGCTGAATTTAAAACCTTGCTGTAAAGACAACTAGGTCATGTTGCACAACTAAAAATACCAATGTACAAGACTTTAATGACTAAACTAAACTTTTTACATATTCATTTTCTTCTACAGCAGAAATAAAACAGAAAGAGCAAAACAATGAGTCAGCCTCTGGATGTTTCTTTGAATTTACCTTGAGTTAGTCATCCAAGCTTTTTTTGATTAGTCAGTTCGGATAACTTCCGCCCGAGAGGCTCATTCATGCTTTTGGAAATCGACTAACAACACAGCTCAGTGGAAATCCAAAATTATAGCAAATAGTTACAGCCAGACCAGCAAAACCAAACAAAGATGAATATTTTTATGAATGACATGGATGGTAGGAGGAGGTCTGTGCAAGACTGGTTCGTTTCATGTGTCCTATTTGACTTGAAGTGGGCATGCATGTGAGGAGTGACAGTGATTGTTCAAACATTAAAACAGTTTGAATGAGTCTTTAAGCCTTTGCGATAAAGCCCTTATATACCCATGAATGCATTGGGCATGCAGTGTGTGAGTTTGCTAGATAGGCCATAAAAATATGAGACGGGAAACAGTGTCATAACAACCCGCACTGCCGCAAAACAAGATGCCCCCATTAGATAATGAGTTAAAAGAGCCAATCTCCACTTTGTATTCTAATGATTTGCATTTTTTTTGTGTTTATATCCTCTGACAAAACCTTAAAAAGTCAAAAAAAAGCTTGTAATGTTCATTATTTTTTGAATAATTAGGTGTCATAACACATACAACTCTGTGAATGTGCTCCAAATAACCACACAAGTGATTCCCACAAGGAAGTCTGCGGGTATGCGAGCACATTTAAATTGCATAACTCTGCTGTTAGGTCCACATCAGAGCCCTCACACAGACTTCCTGATCTGACAGTGGGCCCTCAACGCTCATTTAATTACAGCAATGTGCCTCAAAGACTGTGAGTGCGGAGATGAGGATAGGGCCAGAGTGCTGCATAATAAACTTGCTCTTTTATTTCTGTACTCTCTAAGAGTGATCCAAGCACTAATATCTTAAACCCTCAAATCACAGTATCTTTGTTATCAAGTGTCAAAGATGGTTATTTCATGAAGTGCTCCAAAGTGGCCCCAATATAGACTGAAAAAAAGAAAAAAAAAGTGTATTGGTAATTTTGAAGTTAGGTATAAATGCACATGAGCTGCACAAACAACATAAATATCACCAGACAGAACAGCAATCTTAGGTATCTAACCTTATACAACCAAATCATTAAATCATCTGCAAATTCTAAGAGGAAAGAAAAAAAAAAACTTAACTTCCAAAACAAAACTTGGTTGTGGAATGGGAGACAATGAGCACATGACAACAGAGCTCTCATTATGATTATCTTCCAGCGTGGGTTGGAACTTTAAAACTTCTAAATCAAAGACAGTCACAAGACTGGCCTCTGGGAGGATACAGCACTTTAAATGAACAACTTTTTCTTTACTGCTTGAGAATAATGCAATCTTTTACTTCCTTGTTTTACTTTGAATGAACAAAGCTGCACTGCTTTTGTATGAGTTTCCCCTCCCCTCAGTTTATAAAGATAATAATAAGCCCACAACAAAGACTACTCTATCTGAAGGACAGCTACAGATCTTAGTTTTATAACAGACTCCTTCTGAGTAAAACCAATTTCTCTATTGGAATCAAAATGGACCATTTACAGTTGTCTTTTTCCTCAGTCTTCAGGTTTGCCTTTCACACAGCACTGCCCATACTCGACCCTTTGTATTTTTCTCTTGTGTAAGACAAGAAGGACATAAGAACAAACACAATGCAGCCATCTAAGATTTGTTTTCTTGTTCAGTCACCGTGCCGTCTTTTGAAGCAGGGTCAGATGTCTTTTCTAATTTACCCTGTTATTCTGTGACTACAGGGACTTGTTTGTCTTCTGATGTTGACTTCTTCCAGTCTGAGTGATTGCTCAAGAGTCCTTGTATAAAGTTATTAGAAGTTTGTTTGTTTGTTTTTTTTTCTAAGATGTCTTTGTTGAAGTTGATGGCTGGGAATCATCTTTTCTGTTTCCATATCTATAGCCAAGAAAAAAACTTTTTCCCATCAAGAAAGTTTACGGTGCTTTGACAAGTTGAAGAACCTTGTTGTACCGAACCCGAAATATATCTATATGGGTAAAATGACGTTGGTTATTGTCGTTAATTTTCGGTTTATTGCTCAGCCCTACTTCTCATAGTCTAGAACGGGGTGAGCACTTAATTTTTACATGGGGCCACATGAGAAACCTGAACTGTGTTGGAGGGCCGAACCAACTAAAACTTCAACTTTAAATCAGGGGGTTCACATATACAGAAAAGCAAGCCGAAATAAGCAACTGCTAGTTAAAAACAAGCCCAAAAAAAGCGCACCCGCAATTCACAAGTTTTACAAGCAACTTTTGAGAGAAACAAACTTTAAGTCGTTTATAATAAGTGAACTCTGCAACTCCAAGACGAATATTTTGCAGATGCTTAAACTTGTCTCTGTTCACGAATGCAGATCTAAGATGTACGTACATGCATCCAAACAGAAATAAAACAACTGCTAGCTTTTCAAAATAAAAGCAACACACTTGAATAGCATGTTGATGATTTGATTGACGAACCTCACGAAGGGCTGGGCAGGGACATCCAAAGGGCCAGATGTGGCCCTCGAGCCTTAAAATGCCCAGGTCTGATCTAGAAGGTGGATTCAGGGGCGGTCGGTGGTGCTAAAAGTTAAGGCAGCAGTGGCACTGGCAAGGCAGAAGCAAAAACCAGATATCATGCAGCTAAAATAGCCTTATTGGGTGAATACTTTATGATGATTGTGAGAGCGACACAAAACCAGTGAAGCTGTCCGAACACAATTTACACCCTTCCTGTGGAAACTGAGGTTAACTCTCCTGGAGCTCTCTTTAAAACTCACAGACTTCCTTTTCATCATGACTGATAGTCTACCTGACTTTACCCAGCAGGTCCTGTCAGTATAATAAGCTGTACTCCCTGAGCTAAAGCCTCATGCAAAGACTGACTGACACACCCACAGACAAATCAGTATTGAGTTTAGGCCTGCGGTGTATGTTTTTCTATCTGCTGAAACGTCAACACCCTTGGCAACATCGCTAAACGACATACAGGCAAACAGTTCACTATTTTAGTTATTCAGTTGGTTGAATCTGGGACAGAGGTTGTTCAAAACTAGGAAATATACTGTATGATACACAGAGCATGAAAACTTGACGACCCTTTGCTTAGAGTCAAACCCAGCAGGAAGTCCACTACACTGCTGAGTGTAGCTTCCTCCACTCACAGACCCCAGTGAGCAGCAGTACAAGAGAATACAGGCAGGCTAGCTGTGCAGTCAGCTCTAACTCATACAGCCTCACAGAACCCATGCTCGGGTCTCAAAAGATGAGGAAAATATTGTTTGATATCCATCTCACTTCTCCACTGTGTCCCCAGATATCAAACTACACCACTTTCCATTCTACAGGAGTTAAACTGAGTTTATTCAGGGGTGTTTTGTTAAATTTTCTCATTCTCAAATGTACAGCTCAACATCATTAATGTAAATTTCAATCTCAGTCATAGCAGAATCAGAGAATGATAACCTTTTCTGGCCATGTCAGTTAAGAAATTAATCAATTTTCATATAGTTTAATAGATCAGTAGAAAATAAAAACTAAAAAAAACAACTTACAATCAAAAAAGTATAATTTCAGAATTTAATGACAGTGAAATCATCCCTGTGAGAGATGCACATCTCCAAACGTTGAAGTAACACAGAGCTGTTTGTCCAAATGTGTGCAGACACAGACTCTGTGATTTACTCACACTCTGTGTTGTGGCCCCCTGAGGTTATTTCTGACCAGCTGACAGAGAGCTGACATCACATTGTTAGCAGCTGTGACCTGAGCTGTCACCAACACTACATGGTCTTTAGAGGAAGACAAGAAGGACTATTATATTTAATGTACTGTCTGCTGGTTTCTCAAAAATAGAGTAAAGTATACATGGATTGCTTCTTTATGTCAGGTTTATATCAGGGTTTTCTTTTCTTTCAGTACAGCAGCTTTCAGCAGTGATAAACATTTCTTCAAATTCCCACAATGTCATAAAGTGATCGTGGGGAAACCCGAGGCACAGATTTTTCACATTTATTCAGATTATTGCAATTAGCATAATCACATACTTGAGCAGCTGGAGCCTTTGACTCAACTAAAGGTCATAGCTGGACCTACATGTCTTTAAGTCCACAGGCTTCACCATATTTCATTTTCCAGTTTTATTTAATTCATCCTTTTTTATCTCATTAAATATGCATTGTGTGATCACTACACTTCTTTCCTGCCTACAGCTTTTCTCCAGATTGGCATTTAGCGGCTCGCCACTTAATCAAAGTTTTGCATATTAATCAAGTACAATGGGTGGAAACGAAGTGTTGAGGTCTTGGGCTGTTGTGTTAAATGTTGCAGTGTGAAAAAAGTGGTTTGATTAGACTGAATATTTAAACCTGTGTTTACAGATGATGCAAGTGTGGTTCGAACAGCTAAAAAACAAATCTGACCTATTGGAAAAAATAAAAATAAGAAAGAGGTTGTAGAAAAACAATCAAAGAGTAGCCAGCCAGTCTTAACGCGAGGCCTGCACCTGCTTTTGTTGTGACATGATCAAATCTTTCACCTCATATGGTCTCTAACCACTGAACAGTCAGTTTAAAAATAAAAAGTGATTCCGACAGTAAGCCCCGTATGAGCAGCTGCCTCCCCTCTAACCCTGCTGGAGTACTGTTTGTGCATCTATATATTACCTAGTGTTGCAAAACAATGTGAATTGTGTGATGGAATATTGTGAGCTTGGTTGTGTTGCCATGCAACATAATACGCCTTAAAATATTACTCAATACACCAAATAACTTAAACAGTCAATGCCTCTATGCGCAGACCAGCTGCATGTGAAGACTGTGAAGCTAACTTTGAAAAGCATGTAACAAACCCTGGAACCTCTTAAACTGTGTGTATTGTGTTAAAAAAATAGGGAGTTAGGCGATTTTTAAACAATAATACACATCATGTTTGGTGATTTGCCTCCAAACTGATTGAAGCCTTTGACTCTGACAGGGACATCTGCCATTTACAGTGCCCTGAGGAGAAACAGGCTTTGGCTTCTGTACAGTGTTTGTGTGAGCATGTTGTGTGTATGTGTGTGTGTACGCCCCTGTTTGTGTTTTCATGTATAAATACCCACGTGTGATTATCTGCAAGCATGGTCATTCCCCTAGGGTGGATATATCGTGAATGACAAGCAACCAAATGTCAGCTATCCTTATCCTCATGTACAGCGTGCATTATGTATGAGGCTGTCACCCCCCAGCTTAGACTGTAAGAACAACATGAACATACTCTTACACCCAGGGACGCCACCACACTAATGAATGCACGAAACGCACACACACAGACACACATTGACATGATACATTTTCTTGGCAAGGGTAAGGCCACTGAGTAAATGGATCGTGTTACCAAATGTCTACCCTTTCACCCTTCCTCTGTAAATAACAGCTTCCCTGAACCAGCACCAAGCATGGCATGTTAAGGCTTCACAAAATGGCATTATTATAGTAATAAGCGCACTGAGCTGTGAATGCGATTGCGTGTTAAGATGCAGATGAAACGCAGTAAATGTGACATGTCAGTCACTTAACATCTTACAAGTGTGTGGGAAAGAAATTGCTCAGACATCAATTAGTGTAATTTCATTAGCAAATGTGACAGAATACAGCTGCTCTTGGCACTGGTTATCAACATTACGTCATCTTTAACCGCTAAAACATGCGATTCATCCAATGAACATTTGTTTTCCTTTCTGCTGCCTGCTCTCTGTCTCTTTGTTATTCTTATAAGAATGGGACTGACTGAGAAAAGCTGTGTAATTTTGTGTTTATTTAATTTGCTCACTGCATATTTGGATAGCTGTCATCATCTTTCAAAGGTTACTGAAACAATCAAGCAAATCTTAATTTGTGTCAAGTTTAAAAATTACAACTCACTGCATGAGAAATATCCCTCATTTTCTCATTGAGCTTTCTCTGTCTTGCTTGAAAGCTAAATATCTTTCCCTCTAATTTGCTCCTGCTAAAGCAACAAAACACTAACAAACATAACTTTGTAAGAATGAAATACATATTGTGCAATCTGAGAAACTTTCAAATTGACATGAATTTCTCCCCTATGTCTGATTCAAACACATACAATTGCAGGTAGGGCTGAAATGATTCGAGTTACAAAAAATGATTGAGGAATTTTCTCTGCCTTGAGTACTCGTTTATAAGCTCAAATCGTCACTGTTTCGCACTGATTATTTTCAAGGTGACACAACACGCTTACGTCCCCACAGTAGAAGGAGGAATAAGCACAGTTTTGGTTTTGCGGAGCGGAAAAAATGAATGATGAGAGGGGCTTTTCCTCTGCTGAGCTCCAGTAGCTCATTCGCACTTTGCCTCTGAGTCGTGGGCGGAGACAGCGCCGCTCTGCACACTCCTCTTCATGCTACCTTGTAGCCTAACAGTGCCGGTGTAGTAGCAGAAGCAGGTAACATAGGAGCTATTCAGCTCTCGGACACTAATGTCTTTAGGGGCGTAATAATAATAATATCATAATTAGCTGTCTAACGAGCATTGCAATCCGCTAGCGCACACGCTTGTTCCGCGTTCCTTGTTTCTAAAAAAGGAAAACAAATGATTGTTCATTATTAAGTTAAATGTTTTATTTTCTTTTGTATTTTTCAACAAAAAAACTTCTGTTTTATCTGATTACTCGATTAATCGATGGAATATTTGGTGGAATACTCGATTACTAAAATATTCGATAGCTGCAGCCCTAATTGCAGGTTTTCGTGCACACTGTTGCAACCAGCATGACTATGCCAGAATTTTTTTCATCTAGATTTTGCACCAAAATAACATTAAAAGAGTTTTATCTTAACCCAATGATCAAAGTGCAGGTCCCACAAGCAAATGACATCATCCTCACTGAAGAGGTCAGTGGCTCGACGCCCCCACACACGTCCTTCTGCTGCGTGACGTCCATCTGTCTTTGCTTCCCACATTTCCTGTCTCTCTGTCCAGCTTTTTAAACCCGTAGAGGCAAAAGTCTCGACATGGAAGTGGATTGCTGCTCTTTGCCAAGTGGATGCCGATGTCAGCCTGTTGGTCCAAATGCCAAATCCTCAAGAAAGTTGTAACACCAATAGGGCTGTCAAAAACGACGTTCGAATATTCACTTTAAAAATAACACACAGGTTCGAACCATAGACTCTATATACTATGGACAACTTGGTTCCGCATACCGCCTGTGTACGGATTTGAAGCCAAAAAGCTCTCGATATTTCCGTGTTTTTTCTTCATTTCTTGAAACCAGCACTGCGCAGTAGTGATGCGCGCATTCGGGCGCGCAGTTGCCGAGACTTGCTGTGATGACGCTCGGCTTACAATAACTATATGTCAACATCACAAGCAGAGGGGAGAAAAATTTATTTTCTGTGTAATAAATTTCTAAAGTTTGTCCACAGCCCCATAAGCTTTGCTGGCGGAGGCGGGATTTATGACCTATACTGCAGCCCATCAACAGAGGGTGCTGTTCTCGGAGGGGCTTCACCCAGCGAAGAGGCAGACTCTGTCCATTCTATATACAGTCTATGGTTCAAACATATTGGAATATCTAGTTTACACAGCTTGTGTATAGCTTACTCCAGGACAGCATTTTTTCTGTCCACAATGTCTGCCCAAAATCAGAAGAACTCCCAAACAGAGCTTCGAAAGTTTGTTGGAGTGCCACAGACGGCTTTTGCTAAGTCTCACTGCAGGTGAAGCTCCTGCGGCCTGCCCCTGTTGTTAAAGTGCGCTCTCTCGCAAAGCAGCTGCTTATTTTTTTTGTTTTCCACACAGTTTTTTCCCACTGTTTAATATTCAAATATTAATTTTTACATTTCAATCTGTTCTTTTTTCTGTCTTTTTTTTTTTTTTTACATTCGCATATATATTTGAATTTAGAATTTTTGTTGACAGCCCTAAATACCAATTACTATTACATGCGTTGGCAACAAGTCACAATTAGGCATTGAATTACATTTTTACTGATATTTATTTCCCTCTGAGGATTACCTTTCGGTACTTGTATCTTCTTTGGTATCTTCAAGTGTTATTAGTTCAATTTTACCCAATGCTTTCCTTCATGGCTAGATACAATTTAAGTGTACATGCATACGTGGGTCTACTGTGTTGACAATGACACTGTCAGAAATGTACAACTTATTTTTGGGTAGCCTTTTAATCTTTAGTTGATGCAGTGGTTGTTCTAATAATACAGTGAAAGACAAAACTGAAAAGTTCAAGAAAGGATCTAATAATTCAAAGCACATGATGAAGGAAGCACCCAAGGCTGCAGATAAAGTGTCAGGGAAAAAAATACTTTGGATCGAGTGTCCCAACCTCGCTGGGTGACCAAGACAGACTGAGACAGCGCAGATAAAATGCTGATAGTTATGAAACAGAATTACATAAGCAAAGGTTTGAAATGCAAAGTCTAAAAGCGTAATTGTTTAAAGTAGGCCAAGAGTGTTTTTGTAGTGAGCAGGATAAATGGGAACATTTCTCGGTGTTTGTTTCCATTGGAAAAATATGGATCTAAAAGTGGATGAAGGAGAGGGAGAGGAAGGTGCTTTGAGAGGGTAACATTCATTCTGTTTTTAGAACAACTTGGAATTTTAGGTTTGTGGTGATGTAATAACACTTTGGACTTTTTTTTTTTTGGCAGAGTCATAAAAAAAGGTTTATTTACTGATCTGCAATGATGTTCCATTGATGTCCAGAGGCTTCGAATGTTTCATGAATGGAGTAAACTCTGAGTCAATCTCAGCGATTTACTCTTTGACATGCAATAAAAGCTCATGCAGGCCCCTCACACTTAGGCCAAATTAAGCTTCGTGCCAGTCATTGTTGTTGTAGGTATTCATTTATGTGTTCAGGGTCTGCAGTTCATTTAAAACCTGCAGAATACAAACACAAAAATATGACTCAACAACCAAAAGTTAAATATGCACCCTCTCTTCAGCCTCTAGGCTTAGCTGATATTTTAAACAACTTTCAATTGTCCTTTCTGTTTTTTCAAACTCTTATCATTGAAAGTGTGAGGAAGTATTTTGGTTGACAGTATTGCTTTCATAATGGAAGAGAGAAAAATCTCCTCCCTCCCTCTCTCTCTCCTCTGAGGGTGAATTGCTTTGAAACCCTCCCTGGACAGGAAACAACAACTTAATTCAACACAACACCCTGACAGCACGCACATGAAAGCTTCTGAGAGTTGTTTTTGTCCAACACTGGTGTTACTGGGGAATCTAATCTGTTAGCTGGCACCCAGTGCTGGCTGGCATGTGGGCCGCGTGAGACGACTGAAGGCTGAATGGAAAGATTGTGTTCTAATTTGATGATTCTTCAGAGACTGGACCAACATGACATTGTCAGCTGCATGGATGTGTGGGAGGGAATATGTAACGCTTCTTTTGGCTTAATTGTTCCCAAAATGACATAATCCAAACCAAACCAGGACAGTTATACCACTAACACCCTTGCCAAACCTTCTTTGTAAAACTATTTGATAGACCTATTTTTTATCCAACACTTACTTGTAGTGCTGTAGAATTGCACATTAACTCATTCAGTGCCAGGTTCATTTATGCAATTTTCACCCAGTGACCGCAATAGAAATTTATGTATATTTCAGGGCCAACAGAATATCTTGTGTTTGGACTAGAATTAAGTGCAATGTCTCAGAAGAAAGTGGTGCTTCTCTTCTTTTACAAGATAAAAAAGTTGGTCTCTAACCCACTCCTGTGATTAGTTATTGCCTGCTCAATGCAGCGTGGTCATATCATCTTTGCCAATCTGCAAAAACACATTTTAATGAAGGAGAGACTTTTAAGCAGAACTCTGATCGTCTATTTCATTTCACCGCAATGTAAACCACACCGACTGCTTGCGTCCTCCTCGTTGGGACCGTCGCTGAATTTCGTCTCAGACTCGCTCACCGGTACCAGCACCAGCGGTACAAGAACACGCTGGAAAATTGTTTCTTTAACTGTTTGCTGACGATGTAAAGGTCCGGTACCGGGATCTCCCCTGGATCCAGAGACGGTAGCACCTCGCATCAGGAGCAGATGTGCGTTTACTCTTGGCTAATGACTTTGGCATTTTCCTACTCCACAACTAGGCTAATTGGCACACTTGATGGCACACTTGTCACTAGCGAGTACTTGTTTTTGTTATTGTAATATGGTTATGATGTATTAGTCGGCTTTTCTGCGTTCAGAACAACCTCAAACTTTGTCGCGTGTTGGGTAGGAGCGCCCTCTGGCGGAAAACAAAAGAACTTAAAAACCCGTTGAAATCTGTCAAAGGCACTGAATGAGTTAATAGCAATTTTTGTCTCATTTATTTTCTTCAAGGTCAAGAATTATACAACAAAACTGAATCCCAATTGAGATGTATCGGTTTATCTAGTAGAAATGCCATGTTTGAATGGACCATGACATCCTGTTTGATGTCTGCATCCAACAATCAATTTGAAAACCGTCTCTCCCTGAATCTATTCCTTCCACCTTTTACAATTACTTCAATTCCTTCAGTTGCATTGATCCAGGCGCCATCTGGCCCTCAACCACTACCTGCACTGAAAGAGCCAATCTCCTTTGATGTGAAACACTCAGGTTGATATCTTGTATGTCACCTGACTTGCGGGGTAATTGAACTCTTGTTCGGAAAAAAGCTTTTTCTCTCTCTTGACCAGCTGTCAGGCACATATCGCTGCGGTGTGCAAGGATAAAAAAGACCAGATATGCCAAATTTTCTTCGAAATGTATGACCCTAAGTCTGGTTGGGAGTAACTCCAATCAGTGGGCAAGCTTTGTAAGCCAGTGAGCATGGGCATTGTGCCAGCACCTTGTAGAACCTTTGCTGGAGGCTCTCAGCGCTCACATGTGTTTTTTTTGTCTGCTTGCAATCCATCACTGCAGCACATCCGACAGGCATTGGAAGCAAATGAGGTGTAGCCCCTTGTGGAAATGAAGAAAAACAATCAGCAGCATGTTGTAATGCTTTGTCTTTTATCTCTGTCACTGTAGCTATCTGATTAAGCATCAGATCTAGATCCTTTAGAGCGAGCTCTCCGGGGGAAACACAGGAAGAACATAGCAAACAATTGTTTCACTTGGCAACACTAATAGGGAGTGGCTATCCTGTTTCATCTTCCTCCACATAGAGCTACCACCAGCTAAACAGCAACCTGTGTCACTGTGGAAATTCAGCACATGCAACAAACCCAGCATTTATCTTGGAAGACCAAGGATGAATGTTTAAAGTTTATGGATAAGGTTTCATCAATTCAAGCTGCCAAAGACTATCGGGTTAAGGTGAAGGAAATTCTGCAGCCGCTGCAGATAAAGTAAGGCTAAGAGAAGCTAATAGAGCAAAGTCTGCAATGTAGTTCACTCAAGCTGCACTGATTTCACAATTTGTCACTCTCACTATCACTCGATAAACATATCCTCTAAAAGCAGCAGTTTATTTAAGCAGTGAAATGTTCTGTCTCTTCCTCTGCTTTGTCATTGCCACCACCACCCTGCACCAGCGCTGAGATAACACTTCCATCCACACCTCCTTTCCCAGCATCCACCTTCAGGCCCGGACTCCGAGATAATATGTCATCCCACCTCAGATTTCTGCATGCAAAATAAATCTGCCAGAGGTGTAGACATGAAGCCAATATCCTCGATTTGTGACTCCTCCTTGGAAACCAATATGTTTTTTGTTCTTCTCCTCTAAATCTTAACTTGGTACACTCTGTTATGGGTCACACTGACACTTTTATTTGGAAGGAGACAAATTCAAACACTGTCGCAACACAACAGAAATAAAGAAACTGCACCCAGTATTGTGATCACATGTAATTTGGTGGGAAATACACATGACACACCAGTCATGTGCACTTTTATTAGGATTGATAAGCTCAATTTCAGTCATCCCATTTTCCAGAGATTGTTCTTTCTTTATGGAAGCAGGGAATTGTTTGTCCTTCCTTTGTGACAACAATATCTCAAACATTTGCATGGATTGTGATTCGGCACCAATTTTGACTACATGGTCCCCTGGGAATGACTCCCTGGCTTTGTGAACTACGGTGGCTCAGAGGTGCAAAACACAACGGCAAAAGAGAAAACACAACACAAAAAGAGAAAACACGATGGCAAATCAGAAAACCCAACAGCAAATCAGATAACACTAAAACGAAACAGACAACACAATGACAAAAGAGAAAACACAACACAAAAAGAGACAACATGATGGCAAATCAGAAAACACAACAGCAAATCAGATAACACTAAAACAAAACAGACAACACAATGACAAAAGAGAAAACACGATGGCAAATCAGAAAACACAACAGCAAATCAGATAACACTTAAACAAAACAGACAACACAATGACAAAAGAGAAAACACAACACAAAAAGAGAAAGCACAATGGTTAATGTTGGTGTGTTTTCTCTTTTTGTGTTGTGTTTTCTGATTTGCCCTTGTGTTTTGCTCCTCAGGGCCACCGTAGTGAACCCTTGATTTCTCTTCTACCAATACCACAAGGTTGACATTTAAGGTCAGACTGCGGTGAAATGTGCCACACTTGTTTTAATTTTGATTCTGATACACTCTGACCTATCATACATCACACCATCATTATACCTAATTTGATCTAGCTGATGATTCTGGCCAAATGCCTACAAAACTAATGAAAGTGATCTTTCTCTGAGTTAATTTTAAATTACCTTCCGAGCTCATACTTATAAAATACTGACATGGCCAGCAGTTGCAAAATGAACTTCTGTTTGTCGAAAAATGAATCTTAAAAACGAGGCTTGTAATGCAGACCTTAACACTTCAGGTGTGTCACAGTTCAGCACTTGCTTTTCTTAATTGTGTTGATCAGCATGGTTGTCTCCTTTAGAGGTTCCAGGGTCACATGCTTACTCATTATATGACTGCACATAGTTACAGACACAGACTTTTCCACAGGCCTGAAATGAGCTGTTATGAAAAGTCACTGGGGCAAGCTGTGAGTAATTTATAGTCCAGTACTAATGCAGTCCATCGCCAAATGCTCACTGCAACAGCTGTGACATTCATTAAAACAGTGGGCCAACACAGACGTAATTCAATTTCTTTTGCCTTTCAAATGCATGAAAATGAGCTTGTTTTTGATCCGGAAGATTGAGCACGGGAGCTCATTAGTTCACTCATAACAAAGGCGACATGATCTGCATTGAATGAAATACGAGACATGCCTTCAGTTCAGGTGCTCTTCATTCAGCTCTTTCATGGACATGAAAGGTTATCAAAGATATTAAGGCTGCTCTTTGAATAACACATACATTGAAAACAAGAACAATAATTATGAGTCAACTCAACAGTGGTAATTAAAATGATGTTTTCCTGCCTCTATGGCAACAGCGAGAGCTAAAAGCAATACCAGCGAAATGCCTGCTGCTGAATACTGTATATCTTTATGGAGCCAACCGGGTTGAAAGAGATTCAAACATGTTTGGAGATTAACTTAAAACATCCAAAACACTTGGCATTCTTCTTGGAAAATGACCTGCTTTATTCCTGTGGGTAAAGCCAGTTACATACAGCTAATTTAATGCGTTTTCCAAAATTTCAAACTCCATCCAAAAAAAGCAAAACAAAACAAAACCGGACATCTGTGTTTTTACATACACCTTAAGTTGAAGAGGTTAACTTACTAAGGGCAGACAGATCCATCAAGGGAATTTGATTTTATTCTGCTGCTCTGTCATTCAGCCAGGACTGAATGGTTTGTGGTCTTCTTAATCTTTTTTATTAACTGGCATAAAGTTTTGGTTCCCAAGGAGTGTCTCCCTGCCATGAGCCAAGATGAGGCTCACATTTTTGGATCAGGAAAATAGATTGTCTGCTGCTAAAACCAGAACAAATATCCATGGCCACACAGAGATACAGATCATACAAAGGTCCGTATTGAGTACTAGCTGACATTTGCCCTCGCTAATTATCTACAGTTACAAGTTTTTGACTGGCCTTATTTCTCCTTTGTTTAAAGGCCCTTTGGTGTATAATCACCTGGATTAGGACTGGGCGATATGGCCTCAAATCAATATCACAATATATTAAGCAGTTCACCTCGACAACGATAAATGGATGATAACTACTTCACAAGCTGCTCACCCCCTCCCACATTAACTCCGGCCACTACAACTTTTGAACCGTCCTCCATCTCCTCACCTGTCTTTCCCTCTTTGTTATGGACTGGATAGAGTGGAGTCACGTCTCTGAGGTAGGACGGCATCGTAAAGGGACATGAGATCATAGCCTACCTACATACATCCAAAACTAACTTTTATTAATTTACTTTTTTGACACTGACACATGGGCAAAATTATGTTGGTTATTGACATAAATTTCGGTATCGGTAAATTTTCGGTTTATCGCCCAGCCCTAACCTGGATATCAAAAAAGGTTGTTTTATTTCTGTCAGCTCACAGCCATGTTTCTACCATGGCACAAACCAAACTAGTTACATAATCATTTTCTAAAATTTGATAAGTGATCCTGCACCCATTGGACGACAAAGAGAGTGGGTGTCAGAAGGCCTGTACGTGGCTTAAAACAGACCTATCCAGTCTGCTTGTTTGAAAGAAATAGAGTCTGTCATTGTGAAGTTGTTTTATCAGGTCTGTGCTAAGGCTGCACGATATTGGAAAAAAATAATATTGCGATTTTTACAACCCTGCGATATATATTGCGATATTAAAAATACAGTATTTTCACCAGATGACCTGAATAGCACTTAATGTTATGCTGCACTGCTGAAATCTTGAGGACAGTTAATCTGCTCTGATCTTACCTCTTTTTGTGAATGTTAGTAGAACGGCTTCTGTCCGTCTCAGAGATATTTTTAGCTTTTATTGTGCTGGGACGTTATTGTGGCAACAGGTGAACACAGAAGACGTGTTTTGGTCGACATCATCCTTCTTTTAACCGAAATAATTCCAGATAACTGACTTTCCTTTTCTTTTTGGCAACAAATCTTCATTTTCGGTGGTTTTCGCTTGTTCGTTGTTCATTTTGCGATCGTTGTTGTTGTTGTTAGCGGTTTATCGCCCAGCCCTAACCTGGATATCAAAAAAGGTTGTTTTATTTCTGTCAGCTCACAGCCATGTTTCTACCATTTTAAAACCCATACAGTTCTTATTTGTTGGGCTTAACAGTCATGAGTAAAGTTCCGAAAGTAATTCTCAGCGGACACACGTCTCCCTCCATGTGCAGAACATGTGCAGGGGTGGGTTTTCTCCTCCCTGATTTTGATTGACAGCTGGCAGGGTAGTCTGCTTGTTTGAAAGAAATAGAGTCTGTCATTGTGAAGTTGTTTTATCAGGTCTGTGCTAAGGCTGCACGATATTGGAAAAAAATAATATTGCGATTTTTACAACCCTGCGATATATATTGCGATATTAAAAATACAGTATTTTCACCAGATGACCTGAATAGCACTTAATGTTATGCTGCACTGCTGAAATCTTGAGGACAGTTAATCTGCTCTCACGCCACACATCGTATTTCTCACGCATTTAAATGAACATGGTGATGTCCACCAAGTTGCACCTCTTTATGGAACAGGTACGAATCAACTGAGTTCCTCCGAGAGTTCAGAAGCTGCGTGCCACGCGCAAGCCAATCAAATAAAGTATATCTACTGAACAGCCAATCAAAAAGCAGCATTGCTGTATCCGGGTAGATTTTGATATCTTGCGGTTTGACTACAGGAGAGGACAGACACTCGCCGTAATAGAGCAGGTTTTTATAAGGACGAGATAGACCCGATGATTACAGTAAGTCAGTAACCTACACATGCAGAGACCTCAACACCTCATGGCATATAAACTCATATGATAAACTAAAGCCCTATGCTATTGCTATTAACAGCTGTATTGACGGATTTAGCCTCCGTACAGCCATTTCCAGCCATTTTCCCCTCCACAAAAGCTGCATTTCTCATATATCTCAAATAGAAGTTCTGATACTCATGACAGTGTAATGCTCATGTACCAAAGGATTAAGTATCTCCATGTTTGTGAAACCTATACTAAAGTAAAATTCATCTAAATGCTCCACAGTGCAGATTTTAACAACTTTACGACTTAATACGTATACATTAATGATTTTATTCTCCCAAATAATAACTTTATTCTGTAAGATATAAAAACGTTTTTTTCTAATTGTGCCCCTTGTGCTCCGTTGTATTTAAGAGATAATTATACTAATAGTTATCTTCACCCCCCCCCCAGGAAATCTCACTCTAAGCTTAGTTCAAAACTTGAGAGCCCTGACGATAGTCAAACGATATATCGTTCAGGCCTAGTCTGTGCACTCTTTCTTTCCTCTTACTTTCATAATTTAGAAGATATCCAATGTCAGGTTCAAGTGTGTTCACATTTGCAAACCCGATGCTTGAGTTTAGATATCTACTTTTATAATAAGGCTGTATAACATGGAGCCCTGCACCCCTGGGGTTTATGACTCACTTAATGGTCCCTGTAAAACTCTACTGACCTCAAAACTAATAAAATGCAGTAAAGCATGAAGAGAAAACACAAGTCTTACCTATCTGATACAAACTATTTTTATTTTTACTTTTGGGGGGGAGTAATGAAAGTTATAAGTGTCCTCAACCTTGTTTTATGAATACTAAATCTATCTACTAAAACTGATTATTTTTACGGTGCAAAACACAGAATAAGTCGTATAACTTTAACCAGATCTCTGTGCTGTATGGAGCAACTTGCTGCTTATAAATATTACAAAAGACAAATGAGACAGTTCAAATCTTAACTAAAGAAACAACAGCGGCACTGCTGGCCAAACAGTCTGGGGCACACTGCATAAATTGAGGTTATGCCCCAAGTAAAAAGCCCAAGTTCAATCCCAGCCCGCTCTAACCACAGTCTCATTCATCCAGATAAAGGCACAAAATGATTCTGAGAAAGTACTGAGTGTCTGTTTTCATAATTACATCCTCTTTGAGCTTTATATGCAAGTGGGAAAGTTTATTAAGGTCAGACAAGCCTTGTACAAGAGTATGTTTCTAGTCGAAATAGCCTAAAGTGATCAGCTGTTTTTTTTCTAGTCAGTTCAGAGATAAAAGAGACACAGAAGATCTACTGTAAGTGTTGTTTTCACTCCTTTTGTGACTTACTTGAGTGGATCAGATCGAGTTATGAGCTTTTTTTTTATTTTAATAATTTTCAATTATCCAACTAGACACCCACCTGAGGTGCAATAGAAATGTTTGTGTTGTTCCTAAGATTTACAGTGTGTTGACATATCCTTTTTGTTTTGTTTTCTTTCTCTGTATTTCTTGAGAACTCTAAATCTGAAATCCCATCCATGGTTATGAAAGGCATTCAGTTTTAGTGACAAACTGAAAAGAGCTTTTTTGTTTTGTTTTGTTTTGCATTTGACAGACAGAAAACATGTGAAAACATGTGAAGACAGAAAACATGCTGCTATCTATCTTTCTCTGTGTTTCTATTCTCTATCGTGCCAGAAAATCTTAAAGAAAGGAGACATGAAGAAAGACAGTGTTTTGAACTCTAACTCGTCATTCTTTCTGCATTAGTTCAATAAATTTGACTCTTAAACAGAAGAACTATTGTGAGGTGAGCCCTGGTTCTTAGAGAAAGACTAATCTCCTGTTTCCATGTTATTCAAAAGCCACTCCTAAAATCAATACCTGTTACTGTGCCGGGCAGCGAACACACACAAAAAAAAAAAAGAAAAAGAAAAAGAGGAGAAAGAGAAACGGTCCAAAGTATTTGCTTTTCTTCCTGGTTAATGAAAGTCCATTGGTTGGTACAAGTAAGGACAGAAGCACTCCTTCATATGTCTTTTTTTTCCTTGTTTTCGGTCTATTTTTCCTTCAAACAGGAAACCAGCCAAAAGATGCATTATCATCAGCGAGGGGACTGAGGTAAAAGTAATTTGTCTTTGACAAAATCAACAACAACAAAAGAGATCTTTAAATAAAAAAAAAAGAAAGTTTCCATTTAATTTCCCCTGCCTCAAACTTAGTGGGACTGTCTCAATAGGAAAGGCTGTTTAAAATACAACATTCACTGGTATTAAATTCACTTAAATGGTTACAAAAAAGGCAATAGCGACAACCAATAGCTTGAAGAGAGAGAGAAAAAAAGTTTGTTTCTCAGCCACTAGTGGCAAAAAAAAAGGTGTTGGAAACAACCTTGGTCGTCAAGTGTGATTGAATGGGTAAGAGGGACATGAACAGGGAGTGAGTAATGGTTCTTGTGAAAGTGTCTTCTTAGACCTGCCGCCTCTGTCAAAGAAACTCAAGCATCTGAGTAACTGGCGGTTCAATTTGAAGAGAAGGTTAACTCACGAATCCAATGAAAAGTTTTGTTTGAACACATGTGATGCACTTTTTTAGCGACTTTTTCAGTACATATCATAGACTATATAGAGTGGACAGCGTCTGCCTCCTTCCTGGGTGAAACCACTTTAGAAATGTATTACACAGAACATAAATCTTTCTCCCCCTGCTTGTGATGTTGACATGTAGTTACGGTAAGACTGGTTTGTGCTCAAGTGCTTTTTTTACTGTGCAGCTCAGTTTTTAAAAGTTATTAGGGGGTTTGTGTTTTCTATGATTGACACCTGATACAGCCTATTACCACAAGTCTCGGCGACTGTCCCGCCGAATGTGCACAGCCATTCGGGCAGAATGAATCTCTGGCAGACAGCCATCCACTGTTAAGTTTGGTCCTATTTAAGGCTTCTACTCAACACATTCACACCTGTTGCATGATTTTTATTCTATTTTTTCCAGATTGTTTTTACCTTTAGTTACAGAAAAACTTAAGAGAGACAGAAAATGTGGGAAGAAAACATGTCGAACTATGTTAAGTCACTGGACTCAGTAGTGGACTCAGTGTGACATAAGCCATTGTGTGGTGATTACTCTACCAGCTGGGCTGTCGGAGCCCCTGGACACACGTTTGAACATCATCACCCCGGTCCACTTAGTCCTGAATTTTTCCACATATTTCCTACAGTGTTTTGAAACTGACTGGTGTAAGAATGCACCTTGGTTTCTTGTGGAAATTTGGCTTGAGAGCTGACAGGTATCATTTTGAATTGACTCGGGATGAAAATGTAATTTTTTGCTTATACACATGCACCTAGATTTTTTGATTTACTTTGATTCTATTTTGATTTTTTGTTGTGAATGTGTGAGTATAGCAAAAAGATACAGTCTAGACCTGCTGTCTTTGTTCAAAGCCATAAGATAACTTTTGTTCTGATCAAAACTGATTGACTGAACAATTGTATTAGTCCTCTGAAGTGAAGGTCAAATGATAATATTTCTTTATATTTTTTATTTTTTGGTCATTATTTTTTGTTATGTACCCCTTAGTTAACAAAGTCTACTCTTACCCTCTTTCATTGAAAGCAATCATGTGAATTGCATTGTAGTGGTGTGCCCTCAGCATGAATGTTCAGATCGTTTTACTTTTGCCGCTTGTCCTACATAAAACACTCTAAAATGTGTAATAAGAGATTGGGGGTTAGGCTGCACAAATCCAGGTATTTTACCAAAGCTTCGCTGTTTACAAACAAGAATCTATCTTGAGGAATCGTCAACTGAAAATCTATTCAACAGTGATCTAGTAATAAATAATTTAATTGAGGTCGAGAGAATCCAACATAATCCATCATGTGAGCAGGCATTAGGTGACAGACGGACAAAATCATGTGCAGAGCCCTGAAAACCAAACCACCGTTGATGTTGACAATCCCACCTTGAGCCTCACTGTTATCCCTGATTTTGTGAGGGTTTTTTTCTCTCCTCGTCATGCACTCAGGTTTTTACGCTCTGAATAAAACATCACCTGAGACCCGTCCTTCGCTGTGCTCCAAATGCCACCACTTGTTTTTCTGCAATACAACAGCTAAATCCCAAAACACACACACACATGCAGCACTAAAGCGCACATACGTATATAGACTCAAATAAATCACCAACACCAAGAAGTGTTCATATAAAAGTCGAGAATAGCTTTAGCCTTGAACATTTCAATAGAGCCTCTGTTCACTTGAAGTTCTTTCAAGTGCGCTATAATTTCATATTTATCCAGCTTAGACATCCTCCTCTGTTCAAAAGGTGATTCAAATGTGTTTTGTTATTTATGCAACATTATTCATTCATTTATTCAACCTTTTGTTGGAAATCAACCTTTAAATCACCGGTGGAAGAATCTATTTGCAGTGACATTGAGTCAATGACAAAGGAGAACAAATGAAAACAACAACACAGATATAGGAAACACAGCACCATAATCAGCTCATTCAGAAAAACACGACAGCAGCTGTGGTTTGGACTTTTATCAGTAGTTTCAAACAGGGGTGATTATGACATGTATGCAGTCACTGAAATGTTAAGTAAAGCAAGACAAAAATGCTTCGTTTAAACGGTACATCATCACCACTCACCAACCTCTTCCTCGCCCACTCACACACCACTGACTATGTGACTGAGGGCGATTCGAAGTTCAGTGTCTTGCCCAAGGATACTCTGAGACTGTGGGCGCTTGGATCAAACGACCAACCCTCTGAGTCAGAAATTACCCACTCTGCCTCTGAGCTTCAGCCAGTTCTTCTATCATACTCATAATGTTTTCTTATTTGGCCTTTCTTATACATATTTCCATGTGTTTTCTTCTCAATAAAGCATGTTGACAGGATAGAAATTTGATTAAAGAAAATTGACCTTTTTGGCTCTATTTGTCATTTTAAGTACTGATGCAAATTTATGAAGTAGATATCTAACAATAAAATAAAACAGCTTTCGGCTCTGGGCAGATAAAGGAACTTGGCTGCAGATTTCGTCTCCATTGAGAGTTGTACATCATAGCCAACAGAAAAACACACATAAGTACTTACGCATGCACAAAGCCTAACTGATACAGAGACAAGAATCTGTTAAACAAAGCTTGGAGCAGAGAAGCAGGAGAGAATAGAAAAAAAAAACGGAATAATATTTCTGAAAAACAGAGAAATCATACAGAGACAGAGCGATGTAAATGAAATATAAAGCATACAGTGTGTCCAGTAATGTGAGTAATTCCTGATTGGTTTTAAAAGACGGGTATGGTGCAGTGATGAAGCCAGGGGCATCATTTGAGTGACGTTGCAAACAGCAACCTGTGCTAATACCAGGAGAGAACCAGGGGTCTCAACCTTATGATGTAAGACTAATAATATATTCTCTAAAGCCTCCAGCAAACATCACTTAAACCATTATTTATCCGTGTCATTTAACGAGATTAACCATATCCACTAAAATATTTGCCTGAAGCGTTTCTCAATGTTCTTGGTTTCACAGCTTCAAAATGACACAGGGCTCTTTTACTGACTGAGTTATATATGAAGCCAGAGGCAGTTTACCGGGAAAAAAAGAGCCAATAGCCCTTTTCACACATGCAATTAACCCCTGGAAATTTTCTGACATAATGTCTGAAAGCAGCAGGTCAGAGTGGCAAGGGTTTCTCAGCTTCATACTCTTTACTGCTCGCCTCATTAAATAATTTTGAACTGCTCTGTTTATACTGCTGAAACTATGACAAGAGTATGTCAAGCACGTTCCACTCAGATTTAATGAAACTTTCAGAGAATATCAGGACCTGATTGTCCTGAAATTATTTAGAAAATGCAAAAAAGTAAAGGGTTAAAAACTGTGAAGAGCTGAAGTACGCAAGTTGCTGCCAACCAAATAACAAACAACTGAACAACAAAGATAAGGCTGTGAATGTTGTAAATTTACTTAATGCATTTTTTTTGTTCCATGATCACTTGTAAAGACTATTAACAGTCGCACTGCTGAAAATTGTATCTGTTTCCAAGCTTTTGATATCAATTCTGATTGTCATGTTTATTGATGACCAGCATTAAACACGAATTAAAGCTGAGGATAGCAGGTTTGCAGTTAGGGTGTCAGTACTTTGGTCACAAATTACAGTATTTGAAAACTCTGCCATGAAGTTCAGCTTTGCACGTCGTTCATTACAGTTATGCTGGCTTCCCTAATGCACAAAATGGATGTCAATAGCACCTTTTTTTACAATCAGTCAAGTAGATGTTGATACACCATACTCTGAACTAGGGCCTGACCGATATGTATTTTTTGGGGCTGATGCCAATACCGATTATTAGGGAGGAAAAAAATCTGATTAACGATTAATCAGCCAGTTTGTTTCAATTTTTTATTAAGTTGTAAAAAAATACATATTGTAGATATCTACAATATATATCTTAAGTATACTATATACTGTAGATATACTGTAGGCTACTGCTCTTCACGCCAAAAGAAAGACCGATTGATAAAACTCGGGATCGGGGAAGCGTTTTCAGGTGCACTTCCTGCTTCCTGTTTACCTGTAGAAAGATGGATCCGCGTTGTGTTTTGTTGGGGACGCTTATTGTGTTGTGGTTACATTTATTTGTGACTCTGAAGTCGCCATGTTTGTTTTCGTTTGGGCGCGCTCTGCGTACTTCACTACGTGCCTTTTGCGTACTACGGAGCGTCTGCGCAGACCAAACAAGCATCTCTGTAAACCCAATTCACTCCACTCAGCCTTATATATGAAGCATGGAGCAGATTATTAATCGGCATAGACGACCTACAATCCGACCCGAAATACAAATAGATCCGGATGAATCAGACTGGCTAAGGTGTTTATATGAGACATTTTGAATCTGATTGAAATTGGCCGATTTAATCAGCTCGCCAATAAATAGGTTCGGCCCTACTCTGAACTACAAGTCTACCCTGTTTTCTTTTTAAAGAATGAAACGAAAACATTAGCACAGTCAATACGATTCATCCTCTGTGCACCATGAATGTCGGATTTCATGCAAAGAGAATTCATGCAGATGTTGTTAAGAGTACTAAACTGAAAGGCTAGCCGAAAAAACAACTCAAGCCAGGCCTTTGTGCACTCCAGTGTGCATTTGAAACATCAAAGCATACCCATAATTTTTAAGCAATGAGCTGTTTGAGTTATAATCAAGCTTGATGGGAGAATTTAATTAATTCCTATTAGCTTGTATGACAGTGGTTGATAGGCTGTGAAATAATGCAAACAAGGGTTGTGCAACACAATCTTGGAGTGGATGTAAAGGGAACGTGCAGTGCCTACAGTGGGTGTAATTACAAACGGAAAGGCTGCAGGGGATAGAAAAAAAGAACAATGTTATACAGTATGCCATGGGTAAAATAAATTACATAAAGTTTCGGTCTTTTATTGTAGTAAATAGTGTGTTCTGTTTCTACTTTAAAAGGCAGTTTATCAACTTGAACATCTGAAAAAAGATCACGAGAAATTAGTGGAAGAAGTGATAGAAATAAATCCTTTGAGATAAAAACTGAAAACTAAATGTCTCTTTGTCGAGATTCCTACGCAATGTTGGTGAGGGATTGGGGTTAATTCAATTTCAGGCAGAAACTAAAATTAGTGATTGGCTACGAGACAAACCATTAGCTTTATAGCTTTGGTGCCCCTTGAGCAATTTGTTCTTTCTGTATTTGATAAGCCAAATCTCTCTCACTTTGTATCGCCGGCAGCTCAAGGTTATGACTCAGTCAAACTTCACCCAAATGGTATACAAGAAAAATGTCTGCTTTTTTGTAATGACGTTCAGCACTTAGAGAAATTGAAAAAGTGAGGATGCTAAGTGAGAGTTACGCCAAGAGACCAAACACTTGTGTGTTAAAACATCAGCAGAATGAGTGATTTTTGTTTTATGAGGTTTTTTAAGGCCGGACAAGTCTTGAGGACCATGATGCAACATTTCAGTGTCATGTTCAACCTCTAAATATCACTTCAGATTTATCATTTGTCTCATAAAGCCTCAACAGTCTGGCTCTGAACTGTGTGTGTGTATGTGTGTGTGTGTGTTTACAAGCTCCAATATTAACATGGCCACTTCCCAGAATTAAAAATCCTAATTTAAATAATGATCTTGCAGAGATTCATTCTCAAAGCAGATGCATTAAACAAACAGAGTCACAGCTCGACAAACAACATCCACTGCAAAGACTTATGGTTTATGCAATGACATTTTAAAACCAGCTTATATACTAAAAGTGTAAGAGTATGAAATGTGGGCATCAATCCATGCATTATATACAGCTATAAGGAAAGTATCGTATAAATCATAACAGCAGTACAACTGTCTGATGGGAAGCAGAATCCTAACAGGACAATTTAACATGTGACTGAACATTTTGATAGAAAGGGAAGCAGTGAATGAGACTTCTACAGGAATATTTAACACACCTTTGAATGAAAATACAACAAATAAGAACACATTTACCATTATTGCTGTTATAAAAAACACACTTATAATTTAAGTATCTTTGTAATGTTCTTTCCAGCTCTGCTGCTGTTGCCTGGATTGCGGAACAGGGTTAGGAAACTCCTTTCTTATCAAAGATGGTAAGAGCCCAGTAGCTCCTCAGGCTGCTCTCAAATATAAGAGCAGCCTGGTTTCTCTTGCTAGTCTCAGAAAGAAACCACTGTTTTTGTCAGTGTCAACAGCTTTCCCCTGATTGATTTGAAGGCTGTGATAAGGTTGCCTGCGCTGCCCCTTTGCTGCTGAGAATTAATCACTACTCTTATGGGGTTTGACTAACTGGAATCAAATATTTAACACAGCTGGAAAATGTGTTTTCAGAGTTAATGAAAAGAGTCATGTGTTCTCAAATGTGAGTATTAGCTTTCATCTTTTATTTTTGGCTACCGGACTGCTTAAACAACGTGGATTACATAACATTACGTAACATAAAAGGTATTTATCCTTGTAAAGTTAATCCAGCAATAGACCATCCATTGAGACCACTTTTGAGAAACTGTCAAGTATTTTGAGGCTGATTGTCAGACCAAAAAAGTAGTATTACATCAACATGTGACAGCTATAGACAAGAGACACCTTTGACTTTATAGGAGGAACAGCCTCCAAGAATCACGTCTCCCTACATTAAGCCAGGAAACTTGACAGATGTCTAAAGGAATGACCTGTTTTAATGTCTGTTTTGCTTGGAATGGGACCATTACTTCTTAAATATTAACATTAATTTTATTCTCAAAGATGTAAAACCTATGAATAAGATGATAAGAAATCAGGACATTTTCATTTGTGGTTTCATGTAAACAAACTAGAGATGGGATTTATGGCTCTTTGAGGAGCCGTTTCTTTCAAAGAGCTGTTCAAAAGACTGGCTCATTGTTATATTTATTCACTTTTCACAAGTCAATCAGGGGTTACTGTCCATTATCATGAAAACAATCATGGGTCGCAGTTATACGATATGATATGGACCAGAATAATTCAAACTTACCCATCCCACTGTTATGTATTCTGTTGGTGGAAATTATTCTGAAATATTGATTATAGTTTCATTACACTTGTGTTTCCATTCCATGAGGCAGTGTCATATCTCCATGTTTTGACAGTAAGATCACCATTTGAATTTTTCGTTCACCTAAAAGAGTCGCTCAAACAACTGACTCATTCGCCAACATCACGTCTCTCAAACTAACTTCTCTAAGAAACAAGCTCAGTCACTCTGTTTCCACGTTTAAAAGGCATCCACCACTCTGAAAAGCCATCGGTTAGTCAGTACATTTACATGCACTTAAAAAAAGATGTATCGCTTTCGTCCAACTGAAACTGGACTTTTATAAATCATGTAACTACCTTAGTCTCACAGAAACTGAGTACAGGACCAAATACCTCACATTAACCCAGCATCAGAGTCAGATACAGTACATTTTACCTTGAAGACATACACAAGTCCAAACACATCAGGGTCATATCTGTTTATATGCACATACTCTATGTCTGTGCGTGCATTTGAAAATAGGACATAATGATGAACTGTCTTTTTGATTCTTACTCAGTATTAAATCTATATCCCCCTGCTTCTCTCTGTATTATGAAGATAAAGAGGCTCCTTGTTGCAGTTCATTTATCTCGACTGCCTGCAAGCTTTAAAACTGCTCTATGGTAAATAACTCACCCTATACACTCCTATTCATGGACAGTAAAGATCCTAATGTGGGGATTTTTTTGTCTCTCTGTTATGCCAATATTGGCTGAAATACTTAAAACAAGCTGTAAATCCACTTAGACAAAGAATGCCGCTCTCTTCTGGTCCCATGGGAGTCAGGGCAATCATCTACTGCAGATTTATGACTTACATGTTGGACATTTAATTTTCTTTCAGTCTCTGTTATAAAAGCAATCTATCTCTGTTAATGTGCATAGCAGGCAATCTAATCAGGTTAGCGTAGTTAGTTACCACGTCTAATTTACCAGCAGCATATGAACGGCTCAAGAAACCAGAAGGTGACTTTGAGAATGTACAAAGATGGTGAGACAGAATACATATGTATTCATTTTATGTATGAGACACTTACTATGTAAATCTATCCAATCACACCTGCCTAATGAGAAAGTATGGAGGGATTAGGAGGCTGGGAATCTTACTCTGAACTGTAAAAACAGAATGACAACCAGGACAAACCCTATGTCATGTTCACATATCTGATTAGTAATGAGATGTGGTTTTCATAAGTTAAAAGCCGACTATTCATATTTTCTAACTGTGTATGGAAATGATAGATACATTGATTATACATGGTGAAGGCAGTAAAAGAATGTCAACTTGGTCATAAACAAAAATGGGAGCAGGGTTATGGCATTTCTTCATACTTTGTTTTTATGCTTCCAAGTAGGACTGGGCGATTATATGACCGTGATAAATTTCAGTTCGATCACGGTGATCAGCTGAGAGCATATTTACTCGATCAAACATAGAGGAAATGTGCGTCACAGCGGCCAATCAGAGTCAAGCTTCTCCTGCTCACTTCTGTAAGTTAACGGAGAAGTAAACAGAATGACCGAACATGGAGCTAAACGCGTTATTTTCGCATTTTCGTCTCGCTTTTTCGCTTCGCTCCGCAAATTCGCTGGTGTGTAAGGACCTTTACTCCGGGCAGAAATCATGAGCAGAGCCAGACCCATGGTGAACAGCCATCTGCCAGGGCAAGACAGGCTAAGAAAGTAACATAAAAGGAGTCTCAGGGAGCGGTGGATAGTTAGTATGCAGCCAAAGCAACACTTCATCCTGTCAGCTATTTACCTCTTTGCTCTGCCCTCTGTCATACTGCAGGTCTCTCTGCTTTCTTATTAATCCAAACCCATGGACTGCTATCTGGAGGCTTCACACTATGGCACAATGATTGACACAGAGCAATGTCCAAGAGCATACAGCAAACAATCAAAATAAGAGCTTTTTAAATATTCATGGAGGGTATGGCAGATGAGTTCATATGTTCAATGGCTTTTCTACTCTTCAGCACGGTACAGATTTGGTATCTGAAACTAGAGTAAATACAAGTACAGATCCCTCCTAGTCCTGAACCCATGTCTTGCCTCGGCCCACATTTGTTCAACTCTTGATCTTGCCAAGCTAATCTCACCCCAACAGGCTGCTACAGCAGTGCCCTGTGTATTCAGTCTTGTCAGTAGTGAAACCCATTCCCAGACGGCACTTTTCTCAGCGAGATCTCAGCATGGCAGCTAATGGGAAAAAAACCCTGTCTGTGCTACCTTCAGCATACAACACAAAAAAGCAGCACAGACAACCTGTCTTTACCTTCTTCTCTCTTTTTCCTCATTGTGTCTGTCTACCCCTCTTTTCATTCACTGTGTTGAGCTTAGAAAACCACCAATCCCAAATCCCGGTCATGGTTTTTTAGATACACTGCATCTTAATTCTCCATTCTTTCTGATAACTATTGCTGCTGCCCGGCTGCTCTCTGCTGGATCTGTGGCTACACATACGTGTGTTAGCATGTTGTGGAAATTTGCTTATGTAATTGGATTTAAAGGATAAGAATAGTGAAACCCATGCATGCACTCAAGGTTTTGGCTCAGTGCCTCTCTTGCACAGCTGCCATCTGGCACGGTGACAGTATTGCAGCTGTAAAGGCCTTCAGAAGGCATGTTTCTGCTCTACAAACACTGGGACTGGTTGTGGGCCAACCAAACAAAATGAGACTCACTTTTTTTTAAGCACGAGTTTGTTGAACTCTCCTCTCCTTTCTCAGCCTAAACTGCAGATTCTCTGCTTGGTTTTTATTGGCTGTGGGAGAACTTGTGCGGTACAAAAAGCTTTCAAGTCCATCCTGATAAATGATGGCGTTTCTGGTCGAGACAGAATTGAAAAAAACAAGCAAGACTGATTTTGGTTGAAGCAAGACATCTGATTTATCTTTACTTTAGCTTATTCATGATGTTGGTGTTTTCCTGCCATATGTCAATTTTTGTTCTGCACTTGGAAATAGATTGACTTATCTGAGTTAAAGGTCAAAACTAAAAGGGGTTGCATTATTTAGATTGATAGGCTTGTGAACCAACTTTGTGGCTGTAGCTGTGGTGGAGAATTACTTTGACTTTTTATCTTAAGTACATTAAACTGTGTCAAACTGCTGCCAGGGGGGAAGGTGTCGGACAAAATGATAAACTGCATGCTGCCAAAACAGGCGTGGTTTACACTCCTGATAGGCGATACTCTCTGACAAAAAAAACACCCCACTTAGCAAGGAGAAAAAGGTTCTCCACTTTTTTCAAAGGGACCCAACAGGATACAAAAATATTTAAGGAGAGTGGACTCAATGTAAATGGTTCAGTGGGTGATGTTTTACTGCATGCCAACAACAAGATTAAAAAAAGATGCTATCACAATGGACTGTATCCCACTGGTACATGAAATGTAAATACACAGCATGTTGGAGTTTGATTTCTGCCAGCATTTATCTTTGAGTCCCTCCCTCTCTGCAAAGAATCCTGCAGACTTCTGCAGGCAGGTCCATGGGAGATAGTCATGGTCTGAGTATTTACTAGATATTTGACAGGGAAATGGCAGGGTTACAGCAGGGCAAGGAGGAGATAGATGGACTCGCATGAAAACAAACTCAGTATTCACCTTGAAATGTAAACAAAAAGGCAGAAACTGCTGATGACTGTAATATTACTCTTTTTCGTCTAGCATATTTTTGCTTATGTTTCAAAAAGTCTACTGCAGTAACCTTTAATAATCAATGAGTTTAATTAGTAGAAGATCTCAGAGAAATGAATCCTGTTAATTATGCAGAATCGATGTCAAGAGGACTTGTGAAAAATAAATAGCCTGGAGGTTTCTTCACAGATATGTTTAATGCCTTGATTGAAGATTTTAACGTTTTATTTCACAAACACGAGGATTCAATAAAGGTGCAAAGCTACGAGCTATGAGCACACTTTGAATCACAGCAGACAACAGCAGCACGCTTCCAGGTTTCCACTTTGAGAAATCATTAATCTATTAGAAGAGTATTGCAAGAAGAACACTAAACTAAGTACAGTCAATGTTCGTGTCTGTGCGGGCTTGTGTGTAGCTGCCAATTAGCTTTCACAAAAGTGAAGAGTAAGCTAAAGTGAACAGCAGGTCAAACAAAGGGTCCATGTGGAGCATGCATTTCATCCATTTGTGTCCTGGTCTTTAAACTTTAAAAGCACAGAAAAAAACGAGTCTAAATACGAGCCACACGAGCCTTTGATGTAGATGTTTGTTACGCAGCTGTGTCAAGCAAATAATTCTGATTGGTCAAAACTCTATAGCAACAGTCTGTTATTTCACCACAGCACACTTTTCCTACTGACACAGATCTTACCATAATTTCTAGTGGAAATATTGCAAATATATCAACCTGCTGGTTTATTTGGCGTTGGTCTGTATACAGCTGAAAAAAAGGAAAGAGATGAAAACAGTGGAGACAGGGAGGGCAGCGGGGTGAATCACAAAAGCTGAATGAAGTAAACACAGGATGAAACAGTATGGGAGTCTGCAGTGTTTAATACACTGATGTAAAAAACATATTTATATATTTAAAATGCATTAAAAAGAAAATGATGGTGCAAAGTCCTTTTTAGGACTGTGATGATATCAGATCTTCATCCAAAAAAATATCAGGGTCATCAAATATTTGTGATTATGCTCTTACTTAAATGATTATGGAAAATTTGAAAATAATAAAATGCACAATTGTTATTTAATTTCTAATAATATTCATAATTAAAATGTACCATAAGCCCTGTGTCTAAAACCTTTTTGAAGAAGACATTCTTCAATTCTATGATTCTTTGTGTTGCTTTCATTTGGATTTGTTTTCTATCTTGCGTTTAGGTTACTTTTTTTCCTCTGTCGTCCAACTGTGCTTTTATTTTGACATTTCCTATTTCCAGTAGATTTTAAGTCACAGATACCAGCATATTGCATCAGTTCTCGCCCTTGTCTTACTTCACTTTATCATACAGCTAAATGGTGAAGAAGCCTTCACAATTAAATATTATTGTAGCCCAAACTTGATAAGTTTTATTTAATAAAGACATAGCCTTTTTTGAAATAATATAATGTCCAAATAAATAGGTGGTGTAAATCTATTTTCCAGGTTTGCATCAGGCTCCTATCTACTCTAACAGCCCATTCTTATCTCATTTATTATAAGTTAGCTCTTACTTAGTGCCCCAACAGAGGAAATAAAGTCAACAGTCAAATGATAAACATTACTTGAATCTCAGGATCATCTTTAACAGCTGCCTCTATTTAGCTGAATAATGTCATCGTATTTATCCCCGCAGCTCCTCTCATTCTCCAAAGTCTCTCATTTAAATGCTCGTTGCTTAGCTTGATCAGATAAACCATAATCACAGCACAGTGAAGATTATAACCTCAAAGCTGAACAGTAAAGATTACAGAAAGGATTTTAGGATCAGCAACAACATGACAACATATGCACCTTAATGAGGGATGAAGATTTAAAGAGTAAGAAGATAATGACCGAACAGCTTTTGACCACTTATCGACAATGTTTAAGATTTTTTTGTTATATTATCTAGTTTGCTTTAATATTCATTGATTTTATTGTCTTATACTCTAACCATGTTTTTTACATTTTAACAATTTTTATCCTGTTGACTGAGTTCTCTCCTCATCAGTGACAGATTAATATGTCTTATCAGTTTTCTCTGAGTGTGGAACTTCAGCATGAAACAAGATTCAGGTTTATGTTGGGTTTTTTTTATTATGCAGGGTGTTAGAATGACTGGCAGGAACATTTCCTGATGTTGAATGGAGGGAGGGTAAAAGAGTGTATGGAAAGGACATATGTGATAAATGGTGGAGAGGGAGAAGGTTTTATCGTCACTGAGCGCCACAACTCTTCATCACAGGTGACAGATTCTGTAAGTCCTGAATGATAAAACTTGAAAAGTGGTTTTACAGAAACTTCTCAAAACATGAATCAAAAATGTTCTGATTTTTAGAGTAATGAAATCTGAGTGTCTTGGGCTTGAAGCAAGCAGCCTTGAGTTGAAGTGACGGAGGAGTGACAGAGTCGTTCTTTATGTAAATAATGAAGCAGAAGCACCAGGAGATCATGTCAATGTTTGAGTGTTTTTCTGCTGTTTGCAAGCCGTAGTCGGAGGCGAAGAGGTGAACAGATGGAAGCATAAATGATGGAGAGGGAGGGCATGTGGGGAGTGGGAAAAAAAACGACTATAACACATGTAATTTGCATAAACATGAGTAAATGTTTGTGATGGCATGGGAAGATGATGACTAAAGAGACAGAGGGCTGTAAGGTGGCAGAGAAATGGAGGAAAATGGAGGTAAAATCACTGTTATTTACAGTATGTGCCTTCAAATTTCAGCTTTGTGGTATGACATATGAAAAATACTGGATAAAATTTCCTGTGACGCTTTATATAGAGCAAGTGTAGATTGTTATTTTTGGAATTACAGAGATCCAAAACTAACTCATTAATAAGAAACAAAACCGAGGACGTCTCAACAAGGCTGAGCTCCGCTTTCATCCATCAACTGGGCCTGAGAAAATCAGATAACAAGAGTTCAAGTTCTGGGAAACTAGTTGTTTTTTTTGCACGGTAATTCAAGATGTAAAATGAAATGTACCATCAGTGACAACATTTTTCTGCATTTCACGGCCCTGAAGTCACATGCACAGCTAGTTCAGTGTGTTATGTAATTGTGATCATCTCTTTCTCCGTGTGCACCAAATGAGAGTGAACTGCAGTGACACCCTGCTCAAGCCTGTACCTTAAATAATTTAAGGCCCATTAGGTCTTGTCATTTTCGACCATTAGTCAAGGTGTGATTTTGCTCTATTGGTATTCCTGACAATACCAGGCCTCTTTTGTGTTGAATTATAACAGACACGATTGTGATTTTTTCACAGGAGCTAGTGAATGTCAGGTCTCCTTCCAGATTTCATGTTAGCTTGAAAGGATTTCGGAGAAATATGCTGACGGGTTTCCACTTAAAAAAAAACGTGTTCATGCATGTTTGATTCCAAACTGGAGGAAAAACTGAATTGAACATGATATGGTATGAATAAAAGATTAGCTGGTTGTACAGTGGAGATCCTTTTTTCGACTGAATATGTTTGGCTGTGTAAAGAAAGCAATTGACAGATGGTTTGAATTTTGATTGCAATTAAGTTACCAAAGGAACAAACAGCATTTTAGATAATCAGCCACTGTGAATTAATTAAAGTGTGAAACAGCAACCAGAAGCTATAACCTTAAAATGCTGTTTGTTGATAAAAAGAATCAATTCAGACATGTGCAAACTGATAAACTGTTATGTAGTCACTTTCTGTTTTAGCCCATTCAAACTTTTATAGTTGAGTTTTAAGAAATCAAAACACATCTTAAATAGTTGGTTGTTTTTAGTCACATTGTTGACCCATTTGACGGTTGTAATGTCCGTTTATTTGGTCCAAAGTTTCAAGGGTAACCACTAGGGCTGTAATATCCTAGTCAACTGGTCGACTTATTGGTCGATACATGGTGAGTCAACCAAAGTTCTGATTGTCAATTTTTTTCCGCATCAATTTACAGTCTTTTGTTAATTTCATCAGGGGAATGTACCAAGTGCTAATGGGGGTGTTTTGAGAGCACCCCATTTCACAGGTAACAGTCTGTCTCAGAACACCTCCCTTGTTTTCACCATTTTGGATTTGCCCAATCCACTGGACAATGACTGGAGACAGGAAGATTGAAGAGCGTCCACATTAGTCAACGTGGTCCAGTGGTTTGCTGAATATTCATATTTCAGCCTTTTGTGTTTAATTGCTCTCTTGTGCTGATATATTCCCTCTATTAGTCGATTCTTATTAGTTGAAAAATTTCAGGGTTTTAGTCAACCAAGGATTTCTTTAGTTGATTACAGCCCTAGTAACCACTGTTGTTGATCATGATCATGACCAAGAGGTCAGCCGCAACATGTGTTCAACTATTTGATGCAGCTGGTCTTATTCTAGCTTTGTAACTGTCATGATAAAGAGTGAAAATTGTCTTTTTAAACGCCTCATAACATCTGAAAAAAGTGCATTAAAAAGATTCAGTGATATATCCTCTCACACAAACACAGATGCTTAATGGCCTCGAAACATCTGTCTTTGTCAGGTTTCACCATCTGTGTTTGAACGCTAACAGTTGGCCTTGTGAAAGATAGGCAGACCGGTTGAGATGTAAACCTGCCAAGACGATCTCGTCTGTTTTCAAAGCCCGTGAAAAATAAAAGAGAGAAAGCAAAGTTTGTGGAGAAACAAGATTGAAAAAGAGGAGGGGAGGGGTTAGATGAATGAATACCTTTGGGGAATAAATGAGGATAAAGAATGAGGACATGACACAGTGGATGGGACAAAGAAGGATGGGGTAGATCTAAAAGCTTCTCCAATCTTCCCTTTTTTCCCTTCATTTACTGAGAAGAAATTCAGAGGACGTGACAGGATGAACGGGGTTGAGGAATGAAGGGGTAAGAAACACAATGGAGGCCATTTGGAAGAGTTTATTTTCCACTTCATCATCAAAAATGGACACAAGTTAGTGATGAAGTGGCCTTTTTTTAGAAGTGAGTTAGACCCAGCATGAAATTTGACTCGCAGCCAGTCTCGCGGTATGAGCAACTGCTGATGCTAGCTGGCAAGGTTTCAAGCTCGAAACTAGAACTGGCTGTGTTACCATGAGCTACGAGGTCTACCCGGGTCATATTTCTGAGTTTTTGACTCTCCTGCTGTTTTTCATTTCTTCCGGAGATGTGGAGATGAGCTCAGTTACCCTTGAAGACCGGAACAACTTTCTGGAGGACCAAGTTTTGAGAAGTTTGAATGACCGCCTTTTACTGTACAAAAAAAAAATCGCCCAAAGGGATCTAATTTATCTGGTGTTTTCCTCTGCACTAATATCTAGAAGAAACATGATAATCACTCATGTCCTGTTTACATAATCATGCTTATTTATTATAAATGGCTCCCACTGTTTCACTCCTTGAGTCTGCCCAGCATCCCCTGCTGCCTATTTCTGTCTTCTCCTTTGCTCATTTGCCTCTCTAGCACCGTGAATAACGATAATTTGCAGAATTTCTGTTATCTCCCCTCTCACCACGACAGCATGCTAATAAAGCAAAGGGACAGTCAAGCTCTGTTGCATCTTAAATAAGCAGCGGACCGGGTGATTTACAGTGCAATGTGTGTCTTATTCATGCACAGTTTAGGTCACAGATTTTGCCTCATTATTCATGAGTCTAAGTGGTCTTGTAATGCCTCACTAAGTGCCCAGCTCTGAGTAACTAGCTCTCACATCCATAATGTGTGCGCTTGTGTCAGCAGGCCATATCTGAAAGCCGTCAGTGGGCTAAATGTTGTTTTCTTTCGACATTTCTATCACTTATTGATCCCCTTTCTTTTTTTTAATGACCTTTAAAAGAAGAAGGGTGCTGTAAGTGCAAAAATGAGGCAAACTCATGCAAATAGACAAATGAATGCAGCACTGGAAATCTTGCAAAATGCTCAAACGCAGGTGAAATGTTGCAAGCTGCCTGTTTGGGCTTCCATCTTTAGTCAGCTATAAGTGTATTTTGTAGGGTTGGGAGAAAAAATAGTTGCAACATAGTATTGCCATATTTTGTCTGGTGATATAGCCTATCATCTCATATATCAATTTTTCAAATTAATTGCTAATATGAAGTCAAATATAAGATAATGGAAAAATAAAATCAACTGTTTGTCCAGTGAGGTTGGCAGAGGTGACATCATAGAGCAGGAGAAAGTTAGCGCCACAAATATGTATAAGGTTTGCAAGATGTACTACATGGAATTAAATACAAGATAAATAAGACAAACATAAAGGAAAGACAAATGCTAAATTAGCTAAACAGTTAAACATTTTTTATAATTGCAATTTATTGTATCGTTATACTCACTGTTTTGCAAAATGTTTAAAATTACAATAATATCCTATCATGGGGCCACTAGTGATTCCCACCCCTAATATTTTGTGTAATAATTTACATGCAAAGTGCATGCTTGGCTGTCTTTGAGGTTCCCCCCACAAAGTAGGATATTGTATCTGTAATCTTATAACCATCAAAAAATCAAAACTTTACTGGTTTTCACTGGAAGACGAGTATTCAGCCCATGTATTAGGTGCTGGATTCATGTGTATCATCCAATCATCCGATTGAGTTTTTCTGCACTGTCAACCTATTTTCCTTTCAATTTTTGTGAATGTTTCTTTTGCCTTTTGGACATTTTTTGTCTTTTTTCATCTTCTCCCCAGAGAAAGCCTAACCCTTGGAAAGACATCAAAAAGCATTTTATCCAGTTGTGTAATAAAATAAATACTCTGAGTCTCCAGAATGCCACTTTTTCTTTTTATCATCTTCTTTTCAAGTCCGTCATCATCATAAAAACTTTTGCATAGAACTTGATAGAGTTCAATCTGGTATGATATTCATGGGCTAACGAAGCTATCTTTAAATGTGCTCAACAAATTAAACCAACAAAGACTCATCACAATGTAAAGCGATGAGCAAACATCCACGGAGGAGAAGTTTAATCTGAGTTTGAAGTGCTGCGGCCTCCCCCATCATCTTGACTTACAATACAATCTATCACTTAATGCTCCTTTTGAGTGTGCTCAGCCATTTATTATTCATCTGATAACATTCTGCCTAACTAGGAGAATAAGCACGATGAAAGAAATACGAAGCATGCAATGATCCATTATGGGTTTTGATTGAAGAGGATTTACTTTTTATCAGGATGAGTGATGCCTTGTGGAAATGAATCATAACATCAGCGTTATGTTTAATGGTGCAATGTCTTGGTTTAATGTAGCGAAGAAAGTAAAAAGTGATAAGTATGATTCTTTTGAATTTAATGCCAACATAAAGTCTGAGAGATGCAAATTTAATCAGCTCTGATTTGTTGCTGTTGTGAGTTAAGTTGGATAAAATATATTAAAATGTCACCCTGGGATTTTTTTATGGCCTCAATAAAACTGAATATCCACTTGAAAAGATAGTACCTGTGCTCACACCTCCTGGCAGTACTGCAGGGACACACATCCTAGCCAACATCCTGCATTACATTACATTACATTACACTGCATTACAACCCTCCTTGGACAGCATCCAAACTTCCCTCCTCCTGTTAAGAATCATGATCTACATGGGAAGGAATTACAGTTCATTACAGGTCAGGCTGAAGTAAACTTCACACCAAACGTGTACCGTAAAGGGCGTTACTGTTAGAGAGTCGAGTATTGTAAACATTTAAAATTCTCCAAAACATATTCGATAAGCAGATTAGTTGCACTGAAATTGGCTTTTGAAGGAGACAGGGTTGTATGTGATGTATCGTGCGTGCTTTGCATATACTGCTAACCAGACCTTTGTGATGTGTGACACAAAGCTGGCATGCACAGATATATGCACGACTGTATTTGTTTTAATTAATAATGAAATTAGCAGCTTAAGAGACAAATGATGCAGTACAATTTAACGTGATTATTTAAATGACACCATCAGTGTTTTCTAGTTTGTTTTGATACATGTAATTTGATTGTTTCTGCTGTTCCCTGTCTCTCTCTCCCTCCCCCTCCCTCTCCTTACTCATTCTTTCTCTCCTTCCCCTCTTCTATCTCTCTCTCTCTCTCTCTCTCCCTCTCTCTCTCTCTCTCACTCTCTCTCTCTCCTCATTCCTCCCCAACCCAGCAGCAACATGGTGGCTGTCTGGCATGAGTCTGGTCCTGCCCAAGGTTTCTGCCTGTTAAAAGGAAGTTTTGTTCTTGCCACTGTCACTCATGTTAGATGAGATGGGCCAAAACCCATCTTAGGTTGGTTCTTGATCATCAAACAATGAGCGTGGTCGAGACCTGCTCTTGTTCTTTGAAAAGCATATTGAGATGACGACTGTTGTGAATTGGTGCTATATAAATAAAATTTGATTGATTGATTGATCAATGTGGTTATTGTTGAAATTCAATGTGGAGGAAAAATAAAATGGTGTATAATTACATGTTTCTCTGTCAGCCAAGGTTTCAAAGAAAGCAACCCTGTCGACAAAAATAGTACAAATAAATTATTGCATATTTCATGGCCTGATTTTTAGAACACTTTAGGTAATTTCCTCTTTTTTGTCGATTGAAACATCTTTTCAAAAAAACAAACTATGGGAAATAAGATTGTTTTGACCTTAATTGTGATGGGAATGGGGATGTATTTGTAATCTTTCAAGGAAGCACTGTATTGGAAACTCAGTATATTACATGCTCAAAAGCAGCAGCTAAGCGTCTCCAGTACATTCAGGAAAATATACTGCACGCTTTCTGCTGTATTCAATTCAATCTCCTTTTGTTTGGGATGCTTTCAGTTACTGAATTTTGATATAGTGTCTTTGTCCCATCCGTCTCAGGGGTAATCTCTATCATTCAGCTTTCAGTATGGGGCTTCTGACAGTTTCACATACAGGCTTTCTCCTGTCCTTCACTTGTCCTATCAGCCCCCCATTCTGACAACAGTCCCTGTCTTTTCCTCCTGGTCCTCTGCTCATCTTGACAATTTGCTTCCTCTTCTCTATTTCATCATCTGTATGTGTCTGGACTGTAAGTTCCATTTGTCTGACATAGAGGTTTAAGTTTTCACAGACACCCTCTCCTATCATTAGTTCTTAGTCCACCTTCAGCCACAGGCTAACAGACACTTTTTGACTTTGGCACTTTCCTTCTCTCAGAGACTGATGGGTGCATAGAAGAGTCCCCCCCTTTACCCTGGCTCTCTGCTCCCCCCCACTTTCTTATTTCAGTCACTGTCTCTCGACTTCATCCCCTCTGAATGTTAATCCAGTCTTTCCCCTTGTACGCCTGACACCTCTTCCAGGAGAAGAGAGGGCACATGGCAGCAATGTGAACGATTGGACAGGCTTGCCGATACAGCTTTCTTCAAGTGTAGTATGAACGTTTTCCTGCATAATCACATCTGTCACCGACATTGTTTGTTGTTTGATGAATTACTGGCATCTTAAAAAGTCACTTTCCAGGAACTAAAAGGGGAACTCCTCTGGTTTTGCGCATTATTGTGTGTTTAAAACATGAGTGAAATCTGATTAACCGCCTACAAAGATGTCTTTTGAGTCAGCTGGGGCGAGTTGAAGACTACAAGTTTAAAGCTCATATGAGGAGCTTTTATTTTGGGTTATAAAGGACAGGAGGTTCTGTCATGTTTTGCACCAAAAACTACCTAAGGAGGCGCTTGCGTCACAGGTTAAGTTCAATAATTGGATTGGCTGAGTTTAGTGTGGAAGACTCACAAGGCTAATTCAGCTCAAATTGGGAACAGTCCTGCTGTAAAAACAACTCCCATGAACGTAAAGCCAAGTAGTTAGCTGAACCCAGATCGGGTTTCAAGCTATTAACTGTGACACGAAGGGGAAACACGTGAAAAAACATTATGTTTCAGGTCAAAGGGAGTCTCGATAATGTTCATCAGTAATCTCCATATGGAGAAGAAAATACACTTGAAAAAACGTACTGTAAATTTCTCCAGACATTATTCCTTCATTTTTGTCTGAAGACCTGACATTGGCTGCAAAATTCAGAAATGACTGTCTTTCAGCCGGAGGGCAAAGTCAAACATCATTTGCACTGATTTAATATTTTACAGCAGAATGGATGAGTGGAGCTCGACAGTATTTATATTCAAGTCACAGAGTCGATGTTTTTACTGTAAGTGCGCCGTTGATTCTTGAAATATGTTTGATTGGGTTACGCCAGCATTAGTCCATGATTACTGAGCTTTTAGCTAATCAAAGCGCTTTATTGCATGACTCATAAGTGACTTAATGCGGTACTTCAGTACAACACGTACTTGTACACAACAAAAACTAATTTCTTTTTTATATTTACACACATGTAAACACACATACACACATCAAGCAGCAGGAATAATTGAAACTGCGACATTAAACAAACAACCCTATGAGTGCTTTAGGAATTTAAGATGACCAGATTTACATATCGCCACGCATAGTTGGGTAGATGCGATAAGTGGAGACAGAATAGGTAAATAGAAGTTTTTAATCCCTGAGTGTGCTCACATATTGAATTCCTCCTCACATAAATCAGTGTTTGAGTTCAGCCACTCCATTTACAAAAAGTCCAGACAAGCCTCCACTCTACTTATTACATTATTCTTGAAATCAAGATTCTCTTCAGGACGCTGACGCAGAGAGCTGCTTTGAAATAGATACTCCAATTCAGCAAAACGCACTCAGTAATTATGTAAATGTAGGGCCATTTGTGGATCAAAGTGAAGTTATTCTGTTTTCATACAGTTAAACATGATTTGAGCTGAAGTCGTTTTCAATATCAGTTCTCAAATGGATGCACGAATGAAACCCACTACCATAAACCCGAGCTCAAACTACCCAAGTGCCTGGACACAAACAGTATATTTATAGACCGACACGCACTGGCACTCACACACCAACCGTCACAGCACTGCTGCTTACAAGCTGTGCAACATGCACCAAGGCCATTTATATGTTATTAGAAAGTTCACACAGAATATTATGAAAATAATTTCCTCACCTCTGGTTCTCTTTGAAGATAATCTCTTGAGTTTATGCTAATAGGGATTTATCCACGAGACGCTCCACTCTTAACCCCCGGCGATTTGACTCGTCTCCCCCCTTTTGTTGGTTCCCTTTAATCTGTAAGTAGAAGTAAAGTCATTGAGTAAATAGAAAGGCTATGAATACATTTTCATGTTATCTGCATCCATAAATTCCTCTCAAAAAGGTGGCATCAGCAACTCGCCATGGCGACAATGAAAAGTGTATCAGCAGCAGGTCATGCAGATGGATGACATGCATGACTGATGATAACATGGGAGCAGAATGAGGCTGTGTGGAGGTCAAATATTCAGGAAGAAAGGGGAACCTTGTCAAGAACTTGCTGGTTATAACTGATAAATTATTTTTTTTTTACATATTGGAGGTGTAAATGTGTGGATAAAGGATGATATATAGTCTCTCTCACACAGGAGGGAAAACAGCTGATGGCTCTTCATTCATTGACTTGGCGGATAATGAGAGCCCCTCCCTCCTCATAGATTCGTTTGTGAGAAAATGACAGACAAATGGGGGCTGGATGGGGAAATTAAAAAAAGCAATAACCTCTAGAGTTGGATAAAAAATGAAGCCAATGCAGCAGTGCAAAATACTGCAGTGCCTTGAGAGCCCAATAAAAGCTGGTTGCAAAAAACAAGGAATCCCTATTCCCTTTTTTCAGACGATGTTCATTTTGTATACGGTCTATAAAAAGAGGAGAAAAGCAAAACCTTTAAGGTGACACAAGTGAATGCAGGCAGTACGACAAAAGGCATCAGATAAACAGAATTAAAAAACTGTGGAGAAACAGTAAAAACTATTACAGAAACTGTCTTTAAGTTAGGTGGTGATACAAACTTCTTTTACTTTTAATAATAACAGATATGACTGATGTCCAAGCAGAGACCATACATAATCATTTTTTACAGTCAATTCATGAAGAACTGGAATAACCTCTTTGAAGGCTGTTTATTTGTTCAAGAAAACATTAAAAAACTGCCCGTTTAAGTCAAAAGAGAGGCATCGCTACAGACTTTAGCCTGAATCTAGCTTGCTAATACTTTGATATCATGTGAAGAAAAGCCGTTTGTAATGTGTTGATACACAACTCCTTTAATGTTGTTTTTTCCTGGGGTATCAGGTTATGGTGGTGCATTTATTGCAGTTATGAAAAGAGCAAAAAATGTTACTTCAGAAACAGTTCTCTGACTCCATTTCCCTGTCTTTTTGCTCTTTTTGTCTTAGATGGGAAATGCCTCCGAAACATTTCTGCTCTTGTCAAGGATATCAAAAGATAATGACATTATCATGGGAACTCTCTACACCATTTTTGGTAAGTGATGTAGTATTTTACTACAGGAAAGACTTTTGTTTACGTGGCGTACATTCAGAAACAACCTCTGTTGTAACCTTTTCCTGTTGCAGGTGTGCTGTCTGTGCTGGGGAACGGGATCCTGCTGTTTGTGGCCTATAGAAAGAAGTCCTCCCTGAAGCCTGCAGAGTTCTTTGTGGTCAACCTGGCCATCAGTGACCTGAGCATGACCATGAGCCTGTTCCCACTGGCTATCCCCTCCACCTATGCCCACATGTAAGTGACCATTTGTGATCCAGTTTGCGCCATTCAGACTCACCATTACCCCCAATTTACACGGCATCCAGACGGCTACGAAAAGGCTGTATCTGCTTATCACAGCTGATCGTAAACATTCAAGTTAATGTGTCGGTTTCCACAGGCTCCTTTCCGTTCCGCTGCAGATTGCCAGACTCCGCAGCTGATCGCCAGAGTTCTATTTTTTTCCGGACGCTGGACCATGCAAGATAATTTCAGCACAAATTAACCAGTGCTGGAAAGGAAGTCGGGCACAGACACAAAATAAAACACTTCATGTTTCAGGCGGATCATATTTCACACCATGCAAATGGGCAGTACAGGGACAGACAAGTGAAAGGTTTACAGACAGCATTTCACCCCGATCACACCATGGATGAGGGGATGCTGATTTTATACCTCTAGAGGTAGATTTCCTCCACTGGAAGGACACAATCTACTGCTTACATGGTTAGCCTTTGTGCGCGATTGCATGTGAATCCGCGGGTTCTTGTGTTTTCGAGATTACCACTGTCCGTAATCCACCACGAAATTCGCCTTACAAACGGATCCAGTAGGAATTGGCAGACGACGAAAATTGCTGCCGTTCCGGAGCGGTGACAATAGGGGGTTAGAGAATTGTACTTTGTCGGTGGAAAATAACTTGAACAAAAACAAAATGGTAAAAGGATCTTGGTCTGTGTACTTGGCGGCCAACAGATTTTCGTTTTTAAATGAAAAAACTAAAACCCATCTCCCAACTACCAGAAGGGAAATGGGAGATGGAAATCGGAAATCGGAAAATGTTTTCATAAAAATCCAGAAGAAGACCTGGAAGTTGTGACTTGGAGTGAATATTTCTCTTTTTCATTTGAAAACGTTGGCCGCCAAGTACACAGACTGATCTTTTACCCACCGCCAGGGAAATTACTCAAACAGTAAAGGTCTGTGGAACTGCCTTACTAAATGTTTTATTTATCCATTGTCCTTTTATCATGTTGGTCGCATTGGGATAAAAACCTCTTTTTCAAGAGAGACCTGGCCAAGATAGTCATCAGCAAAATACACAAAGTAGCAGACAAGAGGCACACAGGGAACAAACGTGTAATTTACAGGCACCACATTTTGCAATAAAAGAGCAACTATCTGGGGAATCAGTTGTGTAACCAGATAAAGCCTTTCATCTTCATGACACCAGCTCCTTGAGTTTCAAGTCCTTCTGCAATAAATTCCAGGCTGAGGGTACAACCTACCCAGAAGCCCCTTTTTCCCAATTCCTGTTCAAGCAGAGAGCATATAGAATTCCTGGAAGCACAATAAATACTGTCAAGCATAGCTCTGTGTGATAAATCTTTAAGATGTTGTGGTGGGGAACCTTACAAACAAAGTTGTACAGATGTATTAGTCTACAGGGTGCTGGAGATGGTATCCAACCTGGGAGTACAACTCATACTTTAGAGTCAGAGCTTTACAATTGGTAATGATCCTCAAAGATGGTAAACCTCTGCTCTAAATTATTCATCTTATACTTTAATTATAAATGTTAAGTATGTACTGAGGCTTGTTTAGTTTGCAGATGGTACGAACATATGTCGTTGTGGGGATAATTTCCATAAACTACTAGAGGAAGTCACCTCAAAAATGAGCAAATTATCTCCTCTTTTACGACAATAATTCAATATTTTACATTCTGCCAAAAGGCATTACTGAGTAATAAATGAAACAAATTAAAGAGAACAGCATTCACTCGTCTCAGTAGATTGAAAATGGAAATGGAAGAGCCCCCAGATCTGTTTTAATATAAAGTTTAAAGTCTAAAATTTTAAGAAAGTTCATAAAAATACAGAGTACATTAAGTAATTTTCTTTTTTTTTTTCTTTTTTTGGAAAGTAAGAGAATATTTTATAATTGAGCAAAATCCCTCTAGAGGAGCACCATCTTTGAAAAATAATAAAAAGTTCTCTGCAGAAACTCTTTTCAAAACGGTCCATTAGATGTTGTAACAAAACTCTTAAATCTATAATCCTCCCTGCTGCTCTGCTCCTCTGAGCATGTGCAGTCTACTGCTGTCAGATGATGTCTTGATAGGGTCAAAATGCTCATTGTTGGTATGATTGATTTAACAGGAAGGTCAGTCAATGTATTATTACCTGTTTCATCTACAGGGTGTGAGCTGTATAACCCACCAGAGGGACTCTGGATGGAAAGTCTGGCGTAGGACCAGAATATCAATCAGGACAAATGATCTCATTTCTCTCTCTGTCTCTCCATTAGGTGGCTATTTAACAAGACCACCTGTACTGTCTACGCCTTCTGTGGCGTTTTGTTCGGCCTGTGCAGTCTGACCAACCTCACAGTGCTCTCCTCTGTCTGCTGGCTCAAGGTCTGCTGTCCCAACTATGGTAAGAAAATTTGTTTTAATGCTTTTTAAGTGAGAGGAGAGAGTAAGAGAGTAAGATTTACCTGTATTGACCAGTTAAGCTTTACCCCAGAGCCAAAACCTCTAAACTAAATAAAATATTTATGTATATCGAGGCCAGAAAACCAAGGATTTTCTTCACGTTGAGGTTATTACACTGCATAAAATATTAACCTGTATGCTCATGTTATAAGCTCTTTAAAAAACAGGACATGTAGCCTACAAGAGTTAATAATTGGGAGGCCTATTAATAAACTCCCTTCCCTTTTTGATGTATTCCCCTGCAGGGCTTTTCATCTGAAAAACAAACAATCTATCAAATTATTGGCATTGCATGATTCCCAGGCAGCACATATTAGCTACATCTGTAGTGTCAGTGTTTGCCACTGGATTTCAAATATATTTTACTTCTGTTCAAAATTAGATTAAGTTTACATCAAAGTTACTGCCTGTTTAAGGTCCACCAGTCCACCTTCTCCTGCTGCAACAGAAAGGGTCCTCGAGATCAAAGTCCAGTAAAAAAAATTAATCCAAACACATTGGGATCCTAAAAGATCCATGGATATATATTTTTATATTCACAAAGGCTATATGCCGTGGTCCGTCTCAGAGTAGGGTCTAGAGAGACTAAAGAGAGAGACTTTCTTTAATTGTCATTGCACAGAATAATATGGCAGTGATTCCTCTCTGCAACAAAATGTTGTTGCTCGGCTTCCATATCACAGCATGATGGTGTTTGATTTAATGTAAGAAAAATAAAAACAATAAAAACTAAGGGTAAAATAGCAGCATGGTGAGTATTATTGCACTTTCTGGAGGTAGCATGGTAGTGGAATAAAAACAAATAAATAAAAGTGTATATAAAAAGATATATGTTCTTATTTACACAGAATAAATAGTAAAAAAAATAGTAAAAACAGGAACACAATGCAGCAAGGTGGGATTGGGGGTATATATGGAGGGTCATTTGGCATTTGGCAGTCTGATGGCAAGGGGGAAGTAACTGATTGTGAATCTGGCTGTTCTGCAGCGGATGCTACAGAACCTACTGCCAGACGCCAGGGGAGTGAACAGCCCATGGTTGGGGTGGGTGGGGTCAGAGAGGATACGGTGGGATCTGACTCCTTTGCCTTATTTAGGTTAACCATCTGTAGTCTAAATGCTCCCAGTGATTAGAACTCAGGCTCCATATAATCACTCTGGCCCCTTGATAACACTGATGAGGTTTGTTTTTAATCATACTGCAAATGTTTATGCTGAATATAAGAGCAAACACATCAGACATAGTGAGCAGGGTTTCTATGTGTTACTATTTTTTAACAGATCACAAACCTAAAAAAACATATCCACAAAAAAACAGAGACCTCTAAGCTCCCAAATGGCTCTTGATAGTATGACTGATGTACAAAATTTGGTTTTTAAGCCAACTGGTTCAGGATCTGCCCTTGCTGCTACAGAGATACTTTCCTGTCATGGACTCTAGAAACATGAAATGATGTCAGAGGAAAAGCTAAAGCAGTTAAGATAGTTAACTTAGTGTGACATATTCTGAATCTCCAAAAAGAGGACACGACTATGCAGGGTGGAGTCACGGAGTTGCGCATAGTTAATTTTGAGAGTTTTTTCGGGTCAGGTTGGGTGTTTTTTATGCTCTTCTAACTCAGTTAGTCAACACAAACAAAAAACTTCCATACAAACCCCCAGACATTTCAAGGAAACTCCCCCTATAAACTGTCCTGGACGAGGCCGGACAAGCCTGGACAGCCTACCAAAAAGAGGACATGTCCGGGTAAAAGAGGACATATGGTCACCCAGGTTAAATGTAAAGGTAGTGAATGTTTTAATTACTGCACAAGGGGTTTGAGTCAAACAAAGTTATGTGATTAGAGGTCTCACAGAGTCTCCTAAGAAACCAGTATATGGCGTCACACAAATGTCCAAGTTTGAAGACTCTGTAATAAACACCAAGGTCGCTCAGTAAACTGAGCTGTTGTTGCTTGTGTTTTAATTTCATCCATGCTGAATGATCTGCAAGCTGAGTGGCTCTGACTGGATTTCCATGGGGGGGACAGAAAACTAATTACCTGCAAAGATTAATTAGTTGCAATTTCTAATTGGTTGCAATAAATAAGCCTGGCTTTGATATCATCAGGGCAAAATGAACCCCCTAACAAAGCTCAGCAGAGGTCAAATCAGATGTGCTCACTGTGTAAATGCAAAAGTTAAAAGTATATAATGTTCTGGAGGTGTGATTAGAAAACTAATAAGACCTTTTGTTGACCACAAACAGTCTTGTGGATATGAAGTACTTTCAGCCTCGTTGGTATGACTGCAAAGTGTTTCAGCAGCTCATTACTAATGACCATAATTAATCTGTCTGACACTGAAGTCATTGGGTATGTACTTACAGGGTTGCCTTTGTCTTAATCTGTGAGCAGCACAGATAGTTCATTTCGAGTCAAATCTTCAGTTTCGTGCACATGTGCCTGTTTACTTCATCAACATCAGCACACCAGCTTTTGCAGGCAGTAAATTCAGGTGGAATTTATTCTAAGACTCATCTGTGACTACTTATTTTCTTATGAAACTTTCATTGAATTTTTTACCTTTCTATGAAAATGTGATCATTTCAAACAAAACCTCTCAACCATAAAGTTTAAAACACACAAATTCTGTTTATCCGTTTGACAGAAACAGTTTATAATTCCTTTAGATATCCTATCATCATTATCCTAAAGTACACAGTCAAGGGATTATCACATTAATATGCTTCACATATTCACCCTCACATACACTGCAGGGGGTTTACAGACTGACTCATACTGTGTCGATAGGGTTTATAAAGCTGGACACATAAGGTAAAATATACACCGAGTATAATCACCATCCGAGGATACAAAGAAGGGAAAATGAGGGCATATAAGAAGTAAGCACAGCATGTAACAGCAGCATGAAGACATGTGGAAGAAATGTGATAGTAGCAAGGAGTTCTGAAACACAAGAGACTGTATTGACCGTGTATGCATCTTGATGAAGTAGCCTTCACATCAATTCTCTACTATTAAAATTGTTCCTACGAAGCGCCCCATAATTGAATTTTAAAAGAGTTTTCTGCTCTGTTTCCAGAGAAACACTTATTTTAATGCAGAGCGTAAAACCCTACAGATCACAAGCCCTCCGAGTAAAAGTGTCTAAAGTACAAATGAACATAATTATGTCTTTATGAGAGTTTCCCGCAAGGATAACAATTTCCAATAGCTTACAGACACCAATAAACTCTGTTTTCCTCTTGCTCCACTTGTTTTTAAAAATACCCTCGCAGATAAATCGATACACAGTCCACATGGTTGCAGTGATAAGACTAAAACCCAACTGTTTCAGATCCGCTTGTGCAGTTTATGATAAAAGGAAATCAACATCAGCAGGAGGCTACACATGAGTAAAGATATGATCACGATGTACAGACAAGGAAAGTAGCTGCTTCTACACTCTTTATATCTAAGGCAACTGTCAGTGATATGTCACAGTCTTTGTTGTGTATTTTCAGTCTGACTGTTTGGGTCTTAGATTAGACATATACAAAGAGGCCTTTATTTTAATATCTCTGGAATCCATGACAAGTCAATCAGGAAGTGCAGTGCGATAAAGATGCTATAACAAAAAGGTCTTTAAATGCATCATGTTTGGAGGCCAAAAGGGACACCTAAGGGGGGGCAATGCCACCGAGAGCCCCTTCCTGAACATGCCTCTGGAAACTGAAGTGAGAAAAGAACTATTGTAGAGTTAATAACTACTTTTTGTACATGATATAGCCCATGGATATAGACATTTTTCAGAGATAATGCTCACATCTATTATTACTTCTTCCCACCAGACATAACCTTGAGAAATAAGTGGCTTTATGTGGATAATATGAGCCAGTTTCACAGGGTGTGTTGCATAACTGTTAAAAGAGAAACAAGCAGTGTCAAAACTGCCTCCATGAAGTAACAAAACTGAGGATTGGGTTACTTGAAGCAAGGTACGGTACTAATCAAGATAATATTTATACGCTTCTGACACAAGGTTCAATTTTCATGTGTGGAGTTATTGTGCAGAGGTCATCGCATTCACTCTAACGTGAGGTGCCGGATCAGTTTGCAAAAAACAATAAACTCTGATTTAATTGAACAGGAAATTTGTGAACTTTCTGACTCACTGAAATCAGGATTAGAGGGAACTTTTAGGACCAATTAGTTCCTGTGCTGCCATGGAAAATGTTGAAGAAATTGACACTGTAAAGAAGTTTTTGTGAGATGGAAACTCTTTCACAAAGAGTCCCAATCTGAATAAATAAACCACATTTCTCAAGGAGTTTCTCTTACATTTTTACCTCCACCAAGGAGGTTATGTTTTCGGTAGCGTTGGTTTGTTTGTTGGTTTGTTTGTCTGTTAGCAACTTTACAGAGAAAGTAACAGACGGATTGACCTGAAATTTTCACCAGAGGTGCGTCTCAGCCCCAGGAGGATCCCATTAAATTTTGGTGGTGATCCGGACAAAATTCTGGATACTGTGATCCAGAACACACAAAAATAAGGGTGTCGTTGGAATTTTCAATGCTGAAAGATAACCAATGGGCGGCACAGTGGTGTAGATAGGTGGTACAGTGGTGTAGTGGTTAGCACTGTCGCCTCACAACCAGAGGGTCCTGGGTTCGAATCTCGGTCAGTGCATTTCTTGTTTTAGGAACATTATTAACAGTGAACATACCAGTTTAAACACAAATAAACGTCAATAAAAGACACGTAACAGTAAAAGTTTTGGTGTGAATCACAATATAAGGGGGGACATGAGCTGCTTGGCGGAGGTCTGCGCTCTCCAAGTGCTTTTCTACTTCTACATGTAGTTAATTAAGATAGAGATAGATTTGCATAAACAAGAAATATTTTAATCTGCAAGCCTGGCTCTAAGCAACATACCGGAGTACCTCTGTTGAGCATTGATAGCCCTAACAAACCTCTGATGACAGACAAATTAGCACTCAATCAGTCATGTAACATCAACACATGGATCCTGCACTTCCTATTTCCTTGAATCTGCAGCCACTGATGACTGCTGATGAACCCAGATCGAAGTCCATCAAAGAACGGCCAAGCCGAATGAGTCAGATTCGTCCTTGGCGAGAAGACTAATGGCAGGAGGGACATGTGGATTATACAAGAAGCAGTGAATGAAGAGGGAAGCTGGGGAATTTGCTGTAGAGTTAAAGGGAGCTGATTTACAGTTCAGCGACAACAGAATCAATGTGGGGGTATCTGTCCCGATGCTAAGTGCTATTGGCTGTAAAAATTGATGTCTTTCAGGCACCAATGAGCTCGGATGGATCTCAATCACAGGCAAAGTCGACATGGCTTACTGTGTATGGTAGCACATGAAAGGGAGAGTCAAAGAGCTTAGTGGACTGGGGGTAAAACGCTTTGACAGAAATACAAATGGGTAGGGTATTAGTTTACCCTGCAGCCAAATGAACCCACCATATTTCTTCAAACAGGAGCCAGACCTTTATTAAACTCAAATACGAAGCACTTGGCTTTCATCTGAGCCGAAATGACTTCATTTGGCTGTTGGTACAAATCCATCCCTGCTTGGATCTGTTTCAAAATAAAAGACCTCCGGAAGATTGGAGGAAAGAATTCCAGTATTTCGCATAAAGTAAAATCAGTTATGCATTGCTTCAAGTTAAGCTACAGCCATCTTCATGCACTTTTAACATTAGGGTATTAGTCAGGTCTATAAAGCAGAAAACAGCATAAAATTGAGGGTAATTCTTCATTTAGACCAACTGTAATGGTTATCATTCTCAGTGAGGATCCTAATGAGACAAGATGTTGTTTTCTTCCTCTGCATGTATCTGTGAAAAGCTCTCAGCCATTATGAGATACCAGCCGTTATTATTCAACATACTTTTACTTAAGGTAAAAAGGTTTAAATAAAGACACTGGTCAAAGATAGTGCTCTAAGAGACTTCTATGGCTGCTCTTTCTATTCAGTTACTTCAAACAAAATAATGTAAGACGTGAGAGCACATGTTCAAGGGCTTCCGGCAGATACTCTGGCTCTCAGTGAATAAAGAGTTCAAGACGGATCTTCCTTGTAGCACTTCGATAGCTGGAGAGTTTGAGTGCTGATCAGATGCTTCACACCAGAAAAACAGAGAAAAAAGATGTCCAGGGTGCTGCTTTAGCTCAGAGGGCTCAAAGAGTAGGCACCTCATGAACAGAGGGAGCAGAGGCTACCCCCCACACAGACACGCACAATTCATGTCTCTCTATAGCAGCTCTATCAAATAAAAGCATAAAGCCCAATAATGATCTTCAAAAGAAGTAAGAAAAAAAATCAATCTGTAGTAGCGAACCAGCCAAAGGGCTTAAGAACCCTCAACTCTGTCCCCACCCTCAGCTTGAAATGTAAGAGCGGCTGACATCCAGCTGAAGAGGGCTGCATGGTATCAGAGATAAGGCTCCCTCTGTTCTTCCTCTCTGTGAGTCGGCACTGAAGAAGCTCTCGCCTAAATCAATTACAGCCAGTTAGCAGTTAGGGCTGTCCCTGATTTTCCCATGGATCCTCTTTTTCACACTCAGGCACGAGTGATGACAAATGAGCGATCAACCGCTAATGACTCGACTATGAACAGAATACATTATACATACTGTGAACACAGTGTGACTAGATTTAGTTGGGGAATTTTACTCTTGGTTCATGTGGATCTAAAGAGGCTAAAAAAAAGGCGAAAGACAGCCTTTTTCGACAAATAACAATAACCAACTACTCACGTTTGAAGATTATTGATTTCTATTCTTACGTTTGGTTCAAATTTATAAAGGCCATAAGACAGTAAATAAATAGCAAAGTTAATTTAGTTGCAATTTACTTTTCTGTTAACAAAAACAAATATTGTTTATGATTTTTGCTTGAATTTATTATTGTGTCATTCGCTAATCTCTAAAAAGTTTGCAGTTTTTGTATTAAAGCCAATAACAAAACATCAAAACCCTGACTGCATCATTTAACATGATTATAATCAAAGTTATTTTATATGTGGTTAAAACTTACTGTAGAGAGCATACTACCATTGTTTATGGTATGTTCAAGGTTAATGGTTGAACATATGAGCAGTTTATGATTTGTGTGAGTGTTTAAGCACAGTTGTAAACAATGTAATTTTAGCTAGTAAACAGTTATACATCTAAATAGGAAATTTAAAAAGTTAGATTAAAAAAAGAAATGAACACAACAAAAAGTCAATGAGAATATTTCTCTATTTCTATTATGAGGTGTTGAAATGTAAAAAGACAATACTGGCGGCACTGCTGTTTTATCACAGGAAACTATACTATCATTTTATCAAAAAAGAAATGGATTACTCAGGAGAGAATGTATCTGTCTGATAAATAAAGTTGTGACTGTCAATATAAGTCCTTCAGAACTTTTTGACAAGATATTTCACCCAATATGTTGAAGATTAAAAAACTTATCAGGTTTACTTTAGAGTTTTGAAATTAATTTGACAAACTTTGGAGGAAAGAGAAGGTGCCATAACTGTGCCTGGCTCTATCTAAATACCGAAGGCTTCTTTGTACCTGAATGCATACAGAAACAGATCCAACACACAGGTAACAAACAACTTATGCTGACAACTATTGGTGACTCTATGTGTCTAGTGCACAGACAGTAGGGAGTAAAGGGTAAATTGTAAATTCAGTTCCCCTATTTGGGAGAAAACTGATATTTTTCCTATTTTGTTCTCATTCGTCAATAACCACTCCACTAACTCCTCCTCTATCTCTCCCTTGCTCTACTCCTCTTCAGGCAACAAGTTCTCATACTGCCACGCCTGCCTGCTTGTTGCCGGGGTCTGGTGCTATGCTGGCGTTTTTGCCGTGGGTCCCTTGTCGGGCTGGGGAGAGTACGGGGCCGAGCCTTACGGTACAGCGTGCTGCATCAACTGGCACGCGCCAAGCCAAAACTCTGCAGCCATGAGCTACATCATCTGCCTCTTCTTCTTCTGCTACATCGTGCCCTGCACTGTCATCTTCCTGTCCTACACATTCATTCTCATGACAGTCAAGGGTTCCAGACAGGCTGTGCAGCAACACATGTCCCCGCAGAACAAGATCACCAATGCACATGCACTTATCATTAAGGTAAATGCACAGATTTAATAAATAAAAAAAATATAAATATACTTTAAAGAGTGAAGAGAAAATGTGCTCACATGAAATGTTTTTTTTTGCTTGTTTAAGCTCTCAGTGGCGGTTTGCATCGGTTTCCTGACAGCATGGAGTCCATATGCCATTGTGTCCATGTGGGCAGCTTTTGGAAACCCAGCAACTGTACCACCCATGGCTTTTGCTGTGGCAGCTATCTTTGCAAAGTCCTCCACCCTTTACAACCCCATCGTCTACCTGGTCTTCAAACCCAACTTTCGCAAGTCCCTGTGCCGGGACATGGCCCTGTGCAGGAGGTCTTTGTGTGGATGTCTATGTCCGCGCAGCGTCACACAGAAAGGGACTTGCATGCAGGCCCACAAAGAGGATAACTCTACAAGGTTGTCAAACGGGCTACCTGAGAACCACGGGACCTGCAGACACTGTCCTTGCCCTGATTCAGCCCCTGGTACAAGAGAAAATTTCGCAGACTACAGCCCCCAGCAGACTGCCAGGATACTGAAAGGATCTGTACATAGTGAGGTGGCTGTGAGTCAGCTCTCCAATGAGATGCAGAGTGACTTCCTCTAAAACACAAACACAGTAAAAGGTGAAAAGAAGAGTGATTGAGAGAAAGACATCGAGAACGAAGGATAAAATACATCAATGCAAGTTGGAGGATAGATTGAACTTGACAGACGAAGAAAAGGTTTCAAGGTACAAGTTTGAAAACATGAACTTGTCTAATGCCTCAAATATGTGATACTGCCAAAAAAAGAAGCCAATACAGGAGGATAAGAGAGTCAAAAGAGCATCCATGGATGTGTAAATCAGTATTCTATCAGGTTGAATTAACCTGCATCAACAATTATCTGATCACTTTAACTGATCAATACTAACAAAGCAGGACAGAGAAACAATGGAGTCTGGTTACCGTCAATTCAAGCTGGATTTTGAGGAAGGAGCCGATATGAAACTTTCTACTTCCTAAACTACCTTTCTGTATTTAAGTACTGTATTTAAAGATGTATCTGATTTGATAAGTATTTATTAATGCATGCCTCAAACTGAAGGACCACAGGGTTGCTGGTGTTATCTTAAAGTAAAAAAAAAAATTCTCATTGCTGAAATACATTAATTTTTCGAAGCCTCAATTGCTGAGACCACAGCGTCAGCCTCTACATTTATCTACATTAAAGAAACCTGCTATAGGTTGAAGGGGAAAAGACCACTGGGTGAGACTATTGTTACCTGTGTTAAAAAGAACATGGACATCCTTCAAGCACCCAGGGAAGGAGGTTGCATTGATTTCTCTGCAGAGACAAGTTGCCAATATCACTTTTTTTTCCCCAGCCAGAGCTGTGTCCAAAACAGAGCGGCTAACTGATTTAGGAAAGCAGAAGAATTTGGGGATGACTCAGGATTTGAAAAAAAAAAAAAAAAACTTTTTAAGTGTTTTTTTTTTTTGTTTGTTTGTTTTTTTTGTATTATGTGCATTGCTTTTCTGACATGGAGCATTGACAAAACACACACACATACATGAATATACTGCAGAGTGTTATTAAATGATGTAAAGGAAAGGCCGATGTGTAATCTACCAAACAGAGATACTATATTTGTAAAAAAAAAAAAAAAAAAAAAAAAAACGAATACTCAAATGGCTTTTATTTGGCCAGGGTTGCAAACTCCAAGAGCTGGCTCTTACTGTGGACTTGTTGGACGATGACAAAAAAGTAAGGACGCAGCCATGTGTGAGATGAACAACCCACAGATGTCAAATAGTTTGCCATACACCGACATCAGCTGTAAATGTTTATCCATATCATATCACCCCTTCTTTCTGCTGGTGAGCTGGGGCCTATTCTACGAAGCAGGATTACTGCTTAGCAAGGTAACTTCGAGGGTAAAGTCGGGGTTTCCTGTTCTACAACGCAGGTTCACTTCTTAGCGAGGCGAGTCTCTATAGCAACATACGCTGAACGGCTAACCTGCTCCGGGGCAAGTTAGGTTCAAGATTAAACTCACCGAGTATAAAAACCCCGCCCACTGACCAATGAGCTATCTCAAAAATGGCTTGTCCGTTCTTGGAGGATCCTATAGACTTCAGTGCTCGCATTGTTGCGAGACCGCTGGCTACCGCGCTAAGTTGAGCGAGGTAGCTCCAAGGATACCTCGCTAGGTTGAACTTGCTTCGTAGAATAGGCCGCTGGTGTACCAAACTGCTGACTCAACAAAGACTCAGGGAGAAGTCACCGGTCAGACAGTTTGATGTTTTTGTGGCGGTGTCTGAGAAAGATAAGTGGCATGCAGCTTGAAAGTTAGCTAAAAAATGAGAAAATGTGAAACAGTGCTAAAATGAATCGGCTCAATTATTGTTTTTAACATCTGTGTGGATATCAGTTCAAGTATTGGTACTGATATCAGTGTCAGAGTCTCCAGATCGATGCATCTCTAGAAAAGGTTCATGTACAGGTCTCATTTGCTGATCAGCTGTTACAGGAAACGCAACCAGACATCAGGCTGAACAAGAAGGCAGGGTTTCAGACAGATTATAATCAAGCAAACAGTTTTTTTATTGTGAGATATAAAGTGTGCCCATAATGCTGCTAGATTGTGAAAACCGTGTGCACGGCTTCTGCACATACTGCGGGTCAAAGTTGCCAGGAAGTCTGTCTGTAAACTGTGATGGATGTTTACGAAGAACAGCTGTGATGATTAAATTTTCCGGCTACTTTCTCTTCAAAATACGTTTTGTTAGTTTTTGTTCAAAACTGGTATGCGGCCAAACTTGCATCCTTCATCAGACTAATTTTTTCAGCGGCGGTGTCTCATTCCCAGACTCAATCAATCAACTTTGGTCAGCTTATTATTATTCTTACTGACAGGAATGAAGATAAGACTCAAAATTGTAATAAACTGGAGTAATCCTTAAGGAGTTCGGATAACCTCTAGCGAAGCCTGTATGTGTGTGTGAGTGGAAGACTAATCCTCTGGTTTATTTGTACTGTATGTGTGTGTTTTTTTTCTAATGTGCCTCTGTGAGCGTGCTTTTATGTGCGGGAATACAACTGCGCAGGAGCTAACAGTGCATCAGCAGATTCTTTTGATTCTAATATACATAATAACAAGACAAGACAGTAACACACGCCTCTCAAGCCAAGATAACAAAAGGATTGATTCATTTGATGCAACTCGTGTTTAGTGCTCCTCTTGTCTCTGAGAGAAAAACAATGCATTGCTCAATAAAGATGATTTCTAAAATAACAGAAGCAAGGTTTTGCCTCTGCACCTGCCAATATTACTCACAGTGAGCTTAATCTCACTATTTGTCCAACAAGCAGTTTGGAACCTCTCCCCAGGCAGCGCTGGTCATCAAACGAAAGTCTAAAAAAGACCTGCCATGAGAGAGATTAATTAGATCTGCCGTAGTGTATGTCCTGGTTCACTTGCAAGACTTTCATGCCTTTTCAAGATTTCTTTCTATAGTGGGCGAGGGGAGAGATTTGCAGCTCTGTGCAAATTTCACAGAGTGCTCGACTATGTGGACGGTTCACTTTGTCATGAAATAATTTGCTTTAAGTCATGCAAAACACTCATGTCAGCAAATGTGATGTATTCCAGGGCCCCTTTCACTCTTTTAATGACTTTTCAGAAAATTGAAAGTGTCTGCTTCTTAAAGAAACTGATATTAAACCACTACTGCCACCTGAACTAATAGGCCACTTGGGCTTTTCACAGAATACTTAACCCTGAGGTAAGATCCTGCTTAGCTTGGGGTTCACATCTCTGTCAGATGAGCACTGATAGGCTGTGTTCAAACTGACTTTGCAGCATTAAAGCGGGACCCCTTCCCCTGTAGTTTCAATGTTTAACAAAAAAAACCATGCCTGATTCAATTTCTGCTGAAATGCACAGGGAAAAACACAGTAATAGCCAACTAAATACACGCACAAGCCCATAAATCTTTCATATTCTAAAAGCCTCCAAAGTAATGGGTTTTTGACCAGACTTGATGGGTCATCATGTTACACAACCCTATTGACAGATGAGGACACCAATAATGCACAACTCTGTGAATGCCTTTAGGTCAGACGCAGTTAAATATTCAATTCTCTCTATTTACAAAATCAATTAATGCAGGTATGAGTATATATATATATATATATATATATATATATTTATTTTTTTTTTCGTAAATCCATCTCACACTCAGTAATGGCTGATGCTCACATGTAGATATAGTAATCCCTGTCAGGAATCTCACATCTATAAATCAATCATATATTCCAATTAAAGTAGAATAAGATACGGCTCAGTCCTATAATCAAAGACACTGAATTAGGGTTGGGATATTACCTCATCCCCACATTCTTGTTACTCGCCTCACAACACTTCAATCTCACCCCATCTACTCCAACACCATTACACATGCATCATAAGGACATCCATGAACCTTTAACCTAAAGGGCTTAGCATGAGGTGAGGTGTAAGTAACCTGAGATTGTCACGTTAAGCTGTCAAAGCTGTTCAGCTGGAGAAAAGAAGCACCATTAGCAAGAACATTGCCTTTTAAAAGTGACAATCCACATTTTTCTACCAGTACGTTACAAGAAATCCTGTCATCTGCATAACCAGCCACAATCGTAAAAAGCTATGTTGAGGTGCAGGCTAGCAGCTCATTGCTGTTTTGTGCTATTTAAACTCCAGGATAAAAACACGCGTCAGATAAAGGGTAACATATATTTTAAAAACAGTTGTGCAAATCACATCACATCTTTACCTGTTAATCGTTATAATTTCTAACTCTCTGCATCAGACTGAGATGGAAACCTCCATTTTTGCCACAGTGTAAACAGACAAAGATAAAATGTGATTGACTCCTGGACTTAATTTGACATGATGTGTGTGATCAGGTTGTTCTCCTGGCATGACTTTTGCTGTTGAGAGTTAATCGCCATTGTAATGAGGCTTTGACCGAGTATTTAACACAGCTAGAGTAAAAAGGCTATAGTGTTTTATGGTGTAGTTTCCTACACAGCTGTGCTCTGATGTGTGATATAATGTGTATCGCTGGTTATATGTTGGCTGTTTACAACATCAGGCAGACATGTGGTGTAAATTGAACAAGTATTTGAATTCATGAAGGATTTCCATGCTTTAACCAAAGGCCACCTTCACTTTTGTGCTCAAAATGTTGTTTTGGAAACTTTTTCTACCAATATGCAGGTTACCCTTATACAGAAACGAACATATCAAAGGTATGACTTCTGGTCTGTGCTGGAAAAGCTCTTTTCAGCCCATTTCTTGTGCAAAGATGGAAGCACCAACCAGGATACGTAACTGAATATAACTGTGAAAATCAGATTCTGATGTCTCTTTCTGATATTATCTGACTTTAGCTTTTCCTCCAGATCGTCTTCATATATTTATGCATTTAAATATTATATATATAAAACTATCAGTCAGGGATTTCATTTTGTTTGCATGTATGTATACATAATGTGTATGAAGAGATGCCAAACGTTTAGTCATTTATTATTATTATTATTATAAATACCAGTCTGACAGTGTTAATAGGAGACAGAGAAATCTCTTGTAGTGTCTGGAAATGGGGTGAGCGATTTTATTTTTTTAGAGCCTCTGACTGGTGGCTTTAAAAGTGTTTCCATAAATGCTTCCTATTATTGAGTTTTCGTGCCAAACAGCCCGCAGGTCCGTGGATTCCCTCAGTGCAGCTGGAATTCATTTTCCTTTAGCTCCTCTAATATCTAGAAGAGGATAAACTTGGCTGAACTTATATCCTAACAGCAGGATCGTTAATATTACACCTTAATGGCTGTTAAGGTTAAGTATTACAAATAAAGCTCCATTTCCTCATCTTGGCATTGTCGGGCTCCATAGTGGGGATTTTCTGATGTTTCAGTTCATACAGCTTCTATGAAGGTGACTATTTCTACCTCCAGAAAAACAAAGGAATGTATTTATGGCTTTTGTGTCTAAAGTTTGAACATGAAATATGCAGCATTATAACAAAGAAATCTTAGTAGCAGATGGACTTGGTGAGATTATATTTGTTTGGGTGAGCAATTTACAGCAAGTTAAGTTACAAAAAAATGTGATTATGTACTGTTGAACGTGTGCATGGAAGAGATTGAGTTACCTGTAGTCATGCTTTGCCCTTGCTCCATCGTGTCTTTTGTTGTATTAACACGTTCAAAACCATCTTCACATGTGTCCATGGCTTTTAAAAGCTTCTTACTTGTCAAGCGGAAGCCTGTAAACATGACAAAGACTTAGTCGATCCCATCTCATACATGAGACTCTGACTCAGCAGAAAATTCACGTGCAGCAGTCATGTTGGTTTATGATGCACCTCTTGAGCGCTACGTTGGCTTTTAATAATATGATAAATCTTCAGCGTGCTTCTCGGTATGCGTGCTGTGATTTGCTGTAAATAAAGTCAGATGTGATCAAAAGGATGCAAACTGAAATTTTCTATCAGCAGCTGGAGAGCAGAGTCTTTGTCTTTGTGTTTAAGCCTCTTGTTTTATCACGAGAACATCAAACTCTGTGTTGAGGAGATTTGCAGTTCTACTCTCTGATATACGACCAGCATAGAGACAAACATGAATGATTTTTGCTGCCCCCCCAAGTACTGAGACACAAACAAGACTGAATGTGATGTGTTGTACATACAGTATATGTATGTTGATATATGTAAAAGAGAAGTCTGTCTATGTATCTATATAGGTTTTAAATATTATTAAGGTATACTATTGACGTTATTGTCTTTGTTGTCTGTGAAGTTTCAAATGCATTGTGAAAAATGTTTACATCTTTTTGTTTTTGTTTTTCTTTAAAGTATATAAAGGATTGTATGAAAATGTTAAGTACATCCACCCCAGGACAGATCATTTGTTCCGGGGTTAAATGGAATGAGGAATAAATATACTTCAGGATTCCAGGAAAGAGAACAGCAGCACTTTGTTCAGTTTCTGTGTGACAGCGAGGCATGACGGAGATTTACGCACTCATTCAGCGATACCGTTGAAGAGCCACTTTGAAGATAAGAAAATTAAGTTCAAAGGTGGACTATTAGCTTTGTGAGACTGGCGTCCTTGTTGTCCAGAAAGCTACATAATTTGGTATATTGAATAAAAAAGTTTTGACCAAATTTAAACAGTTAAGACAAGAAATCTAAAGTTGACATTTATATCGGTTTGATTCATCACATTGCAGAAAAAGACATTACTTCTGTGCAGTCAACAGAATTTGAATGCTCTATAACTCACTGTGACTAAGCTTGCTGACACAATGAGCAGGTTTTTTTTACATGTTTGCAGGTTTGAAATGGTTTGTGCTTGATTCGCGTTACTGAAAAGAGAAAAGATAACTGCCTAAGCTGGCTAAGTGTTATCTCTGTCCACTGCAGTAGCCCTGATACGTGGTTATGTTTTTGATGAGGCACAGCCTGGGACTTAGTTTCAAAGACTGCTTACATGTTCTCACACACGTAGCAAAATCCTGCCTATCACAGCCATAAATCAAAGCAATATCCAGACATTAATAGAAGTCACAGTGACACAAACTTTGAGCCTATTAATACATTTTTAAAGGTTTTCTGACATTTACCTCAAATAAAGCAAATGGACACAGATTTCTTTAAACTTTAGCTAAAAATATTAGATTGAAAAACATGAATTAAGATTATTAAATTTCCAATAACTCCATGAAATCTTTTCAAGTCATTCAAAAACGAGCAGCTTTGCTCCTGATGTACAAAATCAACATGCTTGCCAATGAGACGATACCTCAAGTCAAAGAAATCTGTTAACTTAAAATTCTGATTTACAACAGCTGAGTGTGTTTTTGAGTTTACAAGATACTTACACTAAAGTGTTGCCACCATATTAAGAGATGTGGTGCACACAACAATAAACAGCGCTGTCATATGGACAATTTTTCTTCAGTCCTATAGGGGAAAGTGGGGTAAGATGAGCCATTTTTCATATATCTGATCACTACATCAAGACAATCATAGTTTTGTCTGTAACTAGTGTATCTGCATATATTTCAAGATGTTGCGCATCCCTGCAAACCAACAGAATTAGTGCAAACATAACTGTCTTGATATTATAGCATGCCGAAAAAAATTGGTCTCCTATGGTCAACCTTCCCTGTGTATGGGGTAAGTTGACCATAGGAGCAGGTTGAGTTGAGCCGTATCCCTACACCCTAAATAACAGTCACTTCTTCACATTCATGTGTATTTTATCTATTATACGCTATCTATCTGGTACAATAATTATGTTTTATTATTATGGCATATAAGTGATAAAAATCTGTTTTGTAAAAAGCCATTTTAACATGAGGATGTCTTTAAGTGATTCAGAACATTCACAGCTGTATTCTTAAACAGCTAAAGTAACACATTTCAACAATCTGAACTGAAACTCTGATCCTCTAATCAGACTCCTTTACTTTCTCAGTTGAGCAACTAGCTCAACTTAACCCTGAACAACTATTATGACTTTATTAGTCCTCTAAGCTTAAATGGTGGACTTTTATATTAGGTTTCTGACCTCATGTTGTAGCTCATAGATACCACAACTGATGTATAAAACAAATTTAAAATGATCTTTTTTGGTCTGAACACAATTCTAATGAAACTTATGACAGACTAAATTCCCTTTCAAGAGTGAAAAATGTTTTTTGGAAATGAATGTCTAACCCCCTCACCCATGTGCTTCTAACCTTCACAAACTCCATGAATTGATGCCCATCTCCTAAATATTTGGTCACATGATCAATTTCTTTTACCATTTCCAAGTAACAGGGGGTGGCTCAACTTACCCCACTCTCCCCTACTGAATTCTTCCTGATTGAAAGTGTCTATGTGGCACGTGATGATCTGGTGTTAACATGCACCTACAAAATTTAATCAGGACAGCTGTGCAACATGCTGCAAAACGACACCCAATACACTCGCGCACACATTCGCACGCATGCACGCACATACACACTCAAAACAATTGCCCATCTGCAAATAGCCATCGCTGATAGCCTGCCACTCGAATTAAACACACCAAACAGAGAAGTAGATCCAGAGCTGAAAGGAAGGAGAAGGCGCTTATAAAGTTGTAAACGTGATAATAGATGAGTGTCTCTACCTTGGCAGGGCACCGGACACAGATACGCCAGAAATGTTTTTTTTTTTTAACGAGGCGATCAAAATCCGGGTAACAGGTGCACGTTTTAGCATCAACTTTCCCAATGCTCTTCAAGTGAAAAAAAGGGTACCTGAATGATTGACAGCAGCACTCTACCACTCACATTATCGCACATGCTACGCGCTAAGCGAAGTTACCGGTGTGCCCATAGACATAATAAAGGATAGACCCCGCTGGGTGTGCTGCGCGGCGAGAAATGCGGCCGCCATCTTGGTCCGGTCAAGCTTCCCATACGCTCCGGTCAATCATATTCATTCATCAGTCATTCAGCGATGCCGGAGCACTGTGCGGCGTATTCCTGTGCCAACAGGCGGACAGCAGAGAACAGGGCTAGAGGAATAACTTTTCACAGGTAGGATTAAACATTTTTTTCAACATTACACTTGACTGTAGAGTCATTTGTACGCCAAAGAGGAAGACTATCGGTCAACTTCAAAAACGAAACAGCATTTGCTAACAGCTAGCTTATTCACCATAATAGCAACTTTGCTCTATTATCAACAGATTTGCATTAGATTGAAAAACTTTTGTTTGAGAGAGGTTCTAAGAAACGTTAAGAAATAAAATAGAACGAAGAAGGAAGAAAGTGAGCTCTGTTATCTGTTTTATTAAAGATTTCTTTGTGGTGATCTCCTGTTTCATTTTGAAGATTTCCTAAGGACAAAAATTTGAAGAAGAAGTGGGAGATTGCTGTAAGGAGGGAGAAATTCACAGCAAGGGATTCCACTGTGCTCTGCAGCCAACATTTTAAGGAGGCAGACTTTGACAGGACGGGACAGGTTGTCCGCATCCGAGATGGCGTTATTCCGTCCGTCTTCAAGTTTCCAGGTCACCTCCAAAGAGTAGGTGCATCACAATAAAGTTGTTTTATTCTATTGATTACATTGCATGAATTACTTATTGTGATTCCCTCTCTATCTATCTATCTATCTATCTATCTATCTATCTATCTATCTATCTATCTACCTACCTACCTACCTACGTCTTTCTGTTTTGTCTTTTTTATTTTTTTATGTCATTTCAGGCATGTTGGGTGGTTTATAAAACACCCAGGGTATCAGACAATTTTATTTCATTATCTAGTTTGTTCCAAAGCCTCACCCCGTTGAAAGAGATAGTGAAAGACTTAATGGTGGTTCTTGCCACTTTTCCTCTTCATTTTAGCCAGAAAAAAGCAGGAACACATCTGCCTCCAGAAAATCTGAGGCGAGCCTGTCTGAGACTCCTCAGGATAACTCAGAGGCCTCAACCTCACATTCTGAATCTCAGCCTGAAGATGTGAGTATTTCAATTTTACACATAAGCATGTCATGATGGTTTTAGAGACTGGTAGCGGATTTGACAACTGATGACTTTTAGAAATAATGCGAGCCCATCTGTGTGATACAGCTAGTAAAACATAACTCAAACAATGCTCATCTCTCCTTTTCCTAGGATCACAGCTATGTAATGCCTTCCTCCCCGACCGCTTTAAAGGCCAGACTCACCGGAGCTTTGGAAAGAGTCGATAAATTGGAGCGAGAAAAAAAGAATGCCAAGGCACGTGAAAAGAGGGCGAAGACAACCGTGAAGAGTCTTCTATCACAATTATGTGAAAAGAATCTCATTAATGAAGAGCTCAAGGACAGACTTGAGTTCTACTCAGGTATGATGAAATTACCACTGTGAAATGTATTTATTAGCTAAAACTTGTAGTCATAATTGAAGGTGACATGTGAATTTTGCCTCAAACTATTTCAGATCTTAAACTAGACTTCATGGCCAGGCGGGGTCATGAGTACTCAAAGGAGCACAGGGAATTTGCCCTGACCCTCCATCTTCATAGTCCTAAGGCATACAGATACCTTAGAGACACTATGAACTTTCCCCTCCCCCATCCACATACATTACAAAGGTAGTCCTAATGTTATCAAATTCAGTTTCGGGAAGTTACATACAGTAGCATAGGCTATATATTTAACTGCTATTCCTCAATATTTTTTGTACAGATGGCTTTGTTCTGTGGATGACAAGCCTGGCCTGAACAAAATGATGCTGGATATGCTGGAAAAAAGACGGAAGGATGACCATGCTAAATATGGGCGTGTTGCACTCATGTTAGATTCCATGGCCATAAGAAAACATGTGCAATATAATCCGCACAACCAGTCAATGTCTGGCTTTGTAGACATGGGTGATGGAAACAATGAGACTGATGTTGCTACTGAGGCGCTTGTGTTCCTGGTGGTTGGCCTTCAAGGACATTGGAAGGCTCCCATTGCATATTACCTGACGAAGACTCTGTCCCCAGACACACAAAGGGTCCTTCTCACTCATGCATTGGAGGAGCTGCATGCACGGGGTATTCAGGTGGTATGTGTCACAATGGATGGCCATGCTACAAACATCAGCATGTGCAATCAACTTGGTTGTGAGCTGAGGGGTAACCCACAAGAGCCACTTAAAACCAGTTTCCCACATCCGTCGACTGGTGACCAAGTATTTATAATGATGGACGCATGCCACATGCTGAAGTTGGCACGTAATATGTTGCAGGTAAATTATAAATGTTGTATACCTATTGGTATAAGTTATGTCTCTGCTACTAAAAGTTGCACATTTATTACTGGATGTGAAGATCAACATTGTGCTGTTTGTACTTGTTTGAGCAGTGACCAATTCTTTCTCTGCAGTCATACAGTCCGATTGCATCTACCAGTGGACAGATAAATTGGAGGTACATTGATCAGCTCAATGATGTACAAAAAAAAGATGGACTGCATGCTGCAAATAAAATTACAGACAAGCATGTCCACTTTGAGAACCAAAAGATGAAGGTTTCCCTAGCCGCACAAACACTGAGTCGCTCAGTGTCAGTGGCTCTCCGCACAATGCGAGATCTTGGGTACTCTCAGTTCAGAGACTGTGAGGCAACAGCAGATTTCATCGAGGTAATTCCTAATAATTCTGATTGTATCATAGGTTTTTTCCACAAATTTAAGGTTTTTCGATATTTAACTGACATGACATTTATATGCCAATATTTTTTTTATAGATGATTGACAGTCTCTTTGATATTATGAATGGACGCAATCCTCGTGCCAAAGGATTCAAAGCTCCTTTCGGTGCTTTGAATTTGATAGAGAGGAAAGCATTTTTGTCAAGAGCCAGAGAGCACTTGCTCACTTTGGCGACAAAAGATGGAACACCCCTCCACCGCTCTAAGAGGTCTTTTAAAAAAGATCATTAAAGTTGAAAGTTCGAGAAAGTTACTGCATGAGTTCATTGAAACAGTTCCAGTTTTTGTTCCATGCATCGAGTTCATAAGATGCCTCATTCTGTATCAGGTTTATATGATACAGTATATTTTCTTTTTGTTGTCTGCCAACATGCTCTTTAATTACAATGTTTTTCTGTCCAGTTGTATTTGTCCAAATTAACGTGTATTCAGTGTTTTTCAGGTCCCAGATGCATATAAATCTATTTTCCCCCCCCCAATATCGAGATTTGTAGGTGTCAAAAAGAGAGCTTCTATGTACGAGGGATGTTTTCGTTTTTTGTCACTTATCCGGGTTGCAGGGGCAGCAGCTTCAGGAGGGAGGTCCAGATCTCCGGTGGGATCCCCAGACGTTCCCAAGCCAGGCGAGAGACACAATCCCTCCACCTGGTCCTGGGTCGGCCACAAGGTCTCCTCCCGGTTGGACATGTCTGGAACACCTCTAACGGGAGGCATCCAGAAGGCGTCCTGACCAGATGACTAAGCCACCTCTGTCAGGGATGTGGATGTAGGACCCAAGTGCAGCACAACAGCAGGTAGTTGTTTAGAAGCTACTTTTATTGCAACAGATCACAGCAAACAGGAAACTGAAGATACTGGGATTGATTTAGCAGTCTCTGTAGAATCTCCAAGTCCAACAGAAAACAGATCCACAGGAAACAGATCCCACAGGCAGAAAGGTGAGTGCACACAGAAAACACACTACACCTGAGAGTCTTTGTGAAGTGCAGCGGCACTGTCGAGGGGCAGGCTGAGCTCGTGGTCGAAGCAGAGGCAATGTCGAATCCAGGCAGACAATCAGCGGGGCAGACTAATTCCAGAGGGATCAGACGGAAGGATAGTCGTGGACAGGCAGTAGGTCGGGAAGCCAGCAACACAGCAAAACCTGAAGTTCTCACCAGAGCGAAGAAACTTGACAGGGGATCCAAGGGCTGAGATGATAAGACATGGTCAGGGACAGGCAGGAGTCGAAACCGAGAAGTCAATCCAAGAAGTAATGCTGGAGAGTCGTGCATGCTGCGAAGACAATCTGGCACTGACTGAGGGACACAGAGTGACTTAAATGCTGGCTGGCTAATCAGCAGTGAGGAGCTGCAGCTTGTCACTCACAGGTGTGGGGAATCAGTGCTGATGAGGAGGTGTGGCAGGTGAGTGAGAGTAAGCCTGAGATGCACAGCAGAGTGTGACAACCTCAGCTGACTCTGGTTAGAAAAAAATTGTGTTCTGGTTAAAAAAATTTCAATCTGCAGTTTTGTTTCCATTTGAATTGTCTTGTATTAAGTGTGTTGCAGGTCCTAGATGCTTCTAAATGGGTATGTATTACACAACATGTACAAGTCAAAATGGTAAGTATTGCATGTGTTTGTGCATGTGTTCTTGTTTTCAAGTTTCCAAAAACATGAATGCAAACTGATTTTGTATCTGCTCTGGTAGCTGCTTTTCATTCTCTGAGTTTGCACCCAAGAAATGCAACTTTTTTTCTTTTGCAGGTATTTGTCTGTCATTGGATTTGTCATTAACATCGACACATTGATGGTAATGATTCCAGAGCTCCTCCAAGTTCAGCGGTATGTCCTAACATACAGATTTAGCCAGGATCACTTGGAGCTACTGTTTAATTCCATCAGAGCATCAGGTAGGATCTGTTAATTAAATGAATTCAGAAAATATACTTAACAAATCTTATGTCATGTGAGTAATGCATGTATTGTCTGCCTGTTTTACATGCAAGGTGGCTGGAATAATAACCCATCTGCGAGCCAGTTCCAGGCCATTTTCCGCCGCTTGATGGTGCGATGTGGTGTGTCACCCAGTGAGACTGGCAATGTTGCAGCCCAAGATGAGACTGTGTGCCTTGCTGCAGTAGAGATGTCGTCTCCAGAAACAGCTGAAGATCAGCCATCTCCATTTGTAAACATACCGGCCGTTGTGACAGATCACAGTTACCTGCCCACTCGGTTCGGGGGGCTGGTGGAAAATGCTCTCGTCTACATCGCAGGATTTGTGGTCCGGCAGATTCTACGAAAGCTGTCCTGTGATGTATGCCGTGAAAGCTTGGTGAGAGATGCTGTACCAGCATCATTTGATGAAAACTACCACCTGCTGACACTGAAAAACCGTGGTGGCCTTGTAATTCCATCACAAGGTACTGTGAAGGTGTTAAGAGCTGCAGAGAGGGTCATCCGGCAAGCATCAACAAGGCAGGCACCAAAGTTGTCAAATGTCACCTACATCGTCCGGGAGGAGGTTGGAACAGAGGACATTTTTCAACTTGGGGAACACATTGAGGAGACACAGTTTGGCATCGACAACCATCACTTCACACTGTTGTCATTGGTTGTGTCTGTGTTTCTCAAAATAAGGCTACACCACATAGCCAAACTCACCTCTCTGGAGCTGCAGAAAGGGAGCACGAGGAAAAAAACCACTAAAGCAGTCCTCTTTCAAGGGTTTTAGGGCCTGAGCAAATTGTTATGTAGTTTAGGAGCTGTCCTGTCATGCTGTTCTTGTGTTTAAATTTTTATTGATATGTAGGCTATATATTTGTGTGTATTTCTTTGTGTGTATTTTCCTGTTATTAAAATAGTGCTTCTATATGACATTATTTGTGTGTGTGTCTACAAATGGATAAATAAAATTAAACTAAATAAAATATAATCAAATCAATATATATTGAATTAGCCTATTAAAACCGCCAGTTATTAATAATTATTGAGACATAGCAGGAACCTATCTCTAAACCTAAATATATCCTTGATTAATTGTTATACTATACTACAGCCACTGCTGCCATGTTCTAATATATCATTTTATTCATTCTGAGTATTTGAAAACGCCAAAAAAATATGGCCTCTATCATGCCTCTTTGAATGGCGTTTGCAGAGAAGAAAATTACGTAGTATTGAGCGAACTATGATTCATTTAATGCGCTCAGACTTCATTCCGCCGGTTAAACAGCGGTGCAGAGTGAGGCGGATGACCGGACCAAGATGGCGGCCGCATTTCTCGTCAGCGCCCATTCGTGGTAGCGGCCGACGCGGGGTCTATCCTTTATTATGTCTATGGGTGTGCCAACCAAACTCGACAGGTAGCCAATAGGAAAACTCTGATGTGTTTAAGGGAGTTTGTTTTTTTCGGTGATACACAAAAGTGTAAGGGAGAGTGGGGTAAGTTGAGCCACCCCCTGTTGCTTGGAAATGGTACAAGAAATTGATAATGCGACCAAATATTTAGGAGATAGGCATCAATGCATGGAGTCTGTGAAGGTTAGAAGCACATGGGTGAAGGGGTTAGACATTTATTTCTAAAGTGAAAGTTAATTGAGTCTGTCATAAGTTTTGTTAGAATTGTGTTCAGACCAAAAAATATCATTTTAAATTAGTTTTATACATCAATCATGGTATCTATAAGCTACAACGTGAGGTCAAAAACCGAGCATAAAAGTGGGGTGGTAGTAGGGATACGGCTCAACTTACCCCGCTCCTATGGTCAACTTACCCCATACACACGGGTAAGTTGACCACAGGAGACCACTTTTTTTCGGCATGCTATATTATCAAGACAGTTATGTTTACACTCATTCTGTTGGTCTGCAGGGATGCACAACATCCTGAGATATATTCAGATACTCTAGTTAGAGACAAAACTATGATTGCCTTGATGTAGTGATCTGAAACATGAAAAATGGCTCATCTTACCCCACTCTCCCCTATAAGATGACACATGTTAAATTCTTTGTATGTTACAAAAGTGTCGCCCAATTTGACTTTCAAAGCCACTGCTTCTGTTAGCGGAAAAGAGCCGTACCTCAGCAGTTTATGCATGTTAAGACATTGGGCACGCACATTTAACATGACACAATTTTTCATTATGCCCATCACTGAAAAGGTTTATACCACCTCTCTGCAGACCGACAAAAATTTTAATCAGTTCAGGTCGATTTAGTCTTAATGAGGTGTTCATACAGAGTATTTTCATTATACTTGGCCTGTTAAACGGTTTATATTGATTTAAATCTCTAACTTAAATCTCCAAACATGCTGACAGGACCAATCAGAATTTAATGTTGTTAAATGTATTTAGTTTTAATCACATCCAAAGGTCACACACAGTGAATAGTTTGTAAAGATACAGCAGGCTTTTTTATGAATCCTCAACTCAACCTCCGTATGGATTTCGATGATTTAACTCAGTCTTAAGATTTGATGACTCATCTTTAACACAGTTGAACCCAACTGCAGCCCACAGCAATAAATAGCTTGACTGGTAACTACTCCTAGGAGACAGCACATATGTATGTACCACACGCAATCCAACATAAAAAACTCAGACTTTCCTTTAGATTCTTTTTCCTCATCTTGTGCAATAAAATATCTCTATAGTTCCTTTTCAAGGTATTAAATGCAAGATATAACCTAAAGTCATTTTATACCATTGCATTCAAACTCTTATCTAAAGCTGTCGGCTTCAGTTGTTCGGCTTAGTAGATCAGGAGGATATTTTTCCAGAAGTATAGTTCAACATCAAAATCCACGTGTGTTTCCTCAGACTGAGCTCTCTTATCCAGCTGCAGCGATAGGAAAGAAAAACAGTCAGGGAATTTTGTACAAAACCCACAAGATCTTTGCTTTATTTGTCTAATTTTTAAGACTGAAAGCTGGTGTTAGCTTAAGATGAACACTGGAATGTGTTTTCCCTTTATTTTCGAATGGAAAGCAGCAAGAAAAATCGGTTTCTTATGGGAGTATGATTATTATTTTAAGACCGATCTGAAGGAATGTGAACTTTTCTATAAGGTGATATATACACAAAAAGAGAAGTACTGATTGAGTACTGATTCAGTTTGCTAACCATCTCAGCAAACACGATATGTGTTCCCCTGTGACAACCAGTGTTTTCCACATTAAGTACTGCAAGTGAACACACACACACAGACACACATTTGTCTTGCTGGGATCTTGTAGCGGGATTTTTTTGTAAACCTGTAATTGGTTTTTCACACTGTTCTGCATGTGCAAAACAAGACTATTGATCGGGATCTATAAGTGTTTTCCTTTAACTGGAAAAGAAAAGTCCTACTGACAGGGCTTCGCGTGGCTGTTTTTACATCCTTAGCTGTCTGTGTGTGTAAAAATCAGGCACCACATTGCAAATAAGAAGTTACCCCTTTGTTTCCCATGATTTCACTGGATAGTCCGTTCATTAATCTCTTGCTTGAGGCTAATCCATTTGCATTACATAATAGACTTGAGTGCAAGTGACCTTTGATGAACTACTAAGTTTTAATCTAAATCTTAAACGACCTTTGATTTAACACAGGAGATTAAAAAAAAACATTTAAGTATCTGCCGGTTTTGTGCTCTAATCTACAGTACAGCTTTTCCACACACCTGGCATATTACATTTACCTCACAGATTATTGTCAAGGGCACTTAGACTGTATGCA